GGGTTAAGGCGACTAACAGAGCCTCTAAGGGTTACGTATGACTAGCACACATAGTAAATTGTAAAAAAACACAATCGCCATTCCTTTTCTCTCGCCTTAACGGTTAATAAATTTACTCTGTGTTTAGACCATAAATTTTTATTACCACCTTCTCATCAAATAGGCGATGATCAATAATATGTTGTCCTATATACACTTTTTCAATGCTGGGGAGGTATAACTTAAAATCTCGATTATCTTTCCACTTTGTAATTTTCTGTTTCAGTAATTACACATTTTTTAATGGGAATGCTTCCATCTCCATTCATTTATAAAAATAATTGAAATTCCTATTACTGAACCTTTTATTGGCTTTCGTTATTGCAATGTTATATCGAAATTTAATTAAGAAGCTTTATAAAACCGCAATTCTATTCGCAATAGTATATTCGTGTGAATGTGGGTAACGAGGCTTTGATTTCCTATTAGGCTACGGCTCAGTGGTTCGCCTTTTATTTCAATAAAATTGTATGGTGGATTCATTAATAGATACGTGCCCACAGTCTGATGGGAAGATACCCCGAGATGTAGCTATTTTCATGATTTATGCATTTGCATCGTAGATTTAACGCAGACGATCCTTCATTCCCATCCGTCCGTAAGGCGAGATCTCTGCAGTCATTCCTAACGCTATGTGGTGTGTTTTCTTTTACTTTGAAATGGAGTACAAGCTAAACGAATAATAGGATCAAAACCTTTGAATCAAACGACGCATTAAGATGGACCGAAATACTTTAATAGGACGAAAAAAACATTACTGCACAAAGGGAAATTGGGATGATTAGAATCGTACTGCGATGCTCTCGGTCCTGTTGTAATTAACCCATAAACTAAAATGAAATTAAGATGAACCCCAAAACGCGAACCGTAAAATAATCCAACTTCAAATTCCCTTTTGAACACAAAAACCTACCTCTTATTAATACGAGGGCGATTTAGAAAGTGATATTGACAATGAAACGACAAAATAGAAATGTAAAGAGTAAACCTAAAAAATATCCCGAGATAACAACACTGATTAAGCAAACGGCTGCCACTTACGTATGCATTCACTGAGAAATTCAATTTATAGCCTCCATGTGAGAGAAAAAAACATATCTCGATCCAAATCTAATCGAGATTTCCAGGTGAATCGCCAGAAATAATCAATTCAAACTATTGCAATTATACCTTCATTCAAATTTTTAGCGATGCACCCAGCTGCTCTTCAAACGCAATGCAAGAAAAATGAAATGGAATCGATAGCCCACATACGCAGTCCAAACGCCTTTAAGAACCCACCAATCAAAATTCGCCACGACAAAACACTAAACAGTTTAAAAAATACAGTGGTCCTTGAACAAAAATTCCAGTAATACTAAACCAAAGTAATTTAAACGCACTTACAGAAACAAAACTGTTAGCAATTCGTCTTCGGAGAATTCTAATTTGCCTCCGATAGACTCTAACGTCTTTTAAAGTTAATAGGGTTCACTAAACGGCGCTGGTTTATTAGTGTGGTCTCGGAAACGACAGCTCTTATACTTGCTTCTCTGTCTACGTTCCCAAAAATGCTACAATTGTGACAGCTTTTAATGGATTTATTATTTTGCGATGTCCGTCTGCCAGGTCAATACTACTTTGAGGATGGAGGTTTCTTGAACGTAAGTTTCCCTTTGAGAAATTTCTTGATGAGCAAGTGGTTCGGCGCGGACGAAAATATTTCAAATTTTTGGGTAAGTTTTCGAAAGCCAATTTATCGAGGCAAGTGTTGATATCGGGAAATTTTGAAACATCTATGGACGTTTTCTTAAAATCGATCCTTTCAGGCGAAAATTCCGGACGCTGACGGGGGAGTATTGTACATTCCCGTCGGGAATCAAATTTTTCGTTAGTTTTTCGATTATGTAAATATTTTCCCCCGTGTATGGCCGGGAAGTAGAATAACCCTACGGCAGAAGCATAGCGTGTGGTACAAGGCTATCGCGATTGAGCTTTGATGTAATGTAACTCAAGGGCTGTACCTGTACGAAACCGAATTTGAAATATTGTTTTGATAATAAATCTATAATAGAAACCTGTCGTTTTAGTGAGACGCGCACGCAAGATCATTTTATGCTCGTGAAGTAAACATTACCAAAAGGAATATTAATGCAATTAATCGCAAACGTAGAAGATTCGTTGCAAAATAGCTCAACTGGGTGTTTTGGGACTTAGTTCAGAAGTGAATATCGTAAAATAAGTTCCATTCTTGGTCAAATAATCTTACGTACAAATGCGTACTGAGAACTATCGGTTAAAATTATAACAATACCAGTGGACCTTTCTGGCGAATAAATCAGGATTTAGGATGGCGTTTCGATCAAGTAATCAAATAATGATTCGCAAGGGAAAACTATCTAGTTTCGACGCGTAACCATGAACTTGTTTGGCCTCTTAAGTGCTGTAATAATAACTCATATTGCGAAAGCGGAAAGCTAGTTTGAATGCAGACGCTATAAATAAAAAGTTCATTGTCCGATCATTTCCATACGAAGAGGTAGTGATAAGCAGACCAGAAAATTTCATGACATCCAAATTTCGTTTCTATTGTAACAACGATTTTTTATGGTGGTAAAATATCAACACAACCTCTATTTGATTAAATGCGAGGCAAGTGTTGATATCGGGAAATTTTGAAACATCTATGGACGTTTTCTTAAAATCGATCCTTTCAGGCGAAAATTCATGCGACAAGATGACTAGTCAAGTATGCCCGATTCTGCATAGATTTGCTCACTCGTAGGTTTGCATAGCTACTTCCCTTGTTAAAAATACCAACTCTTCCTCGTCATTACCCTTACTATCTTATTTTCTGAGGTTTACTTTGTTTTCGTATTTTTATTGTGAATTAGAGTACTGCCATATCCGTATATTTCCAAGTTTAACGTGTGCTTTCAAATTATGGAAAAAGGAAGTTCAAGCATTTGAGTAAGTCAATATCAATCGTATCGTTGGTTGAATACACGTTCATGTTCGGGTGGTATGATTTCAAATAGAATAAATCGATACCTGCTCCATACTTCAATGCTTAATTGCTAAAAGTGTAAATCATTTTACATTCGTATTGTCTACTAAATAACCAAACATTTGCGAAACATTAATAAAACATACATTCGTGTTTTTTTTATCATTAATGGATTTTATTTCAAAAATAAATTAAAGTTGTCATCGAAAAATATGGCATGCTCTCATATACCATTTAGCAGCAATTACTTTTACATAAATCAGCACACATCTATCACTTGCTAAGTACCAGGGGTTATATACTCTGCCTTTTTTTGAACCCCGAAAAAAAAATTGTCTCAGATCGACAAGGGAAAAAAAATTTCTTATAGAATGTGGCCTGTAGAATCCATAATTTCAAACAGTTCGAAGATTGGACTACTAGTTCAAAAGTTACAGCCCTTTGAATTTTCTTTCGAAATTGGTTTCTAGTCTATAACTTTTTATTGAGAAGTCTGATCGAAAAAGTACGAATTGTTTTGGATTCTACGCACCAAAATTAATAAGAAAAAGTATTTTCCCGAGAAATTTTGGTTGTAGTCGATTTTTGGTAAAAAAGGAAGGTTTATACACTGCCTTTTTTTGAACCCCGAAAAAAAAATTGTCTCAGATCGACCCGGGAAAAAAATTTTAGAATGTGGCCTGTAGAATCCATAATTTCAAACAGTTCGAAGATTGGGCTACTAGTTCAAAAGTTACAGCCCTTTGAATTTTCTTTCGAAATTGATTTCTAGTCTATAACTTTTGATTCAGAAGTCTGATCGAAAAAGTACGAATTGTTTTGGATTCTACGCACCAAAATTAATAAGAAAAATTGTTTTCCTGAGAAATTTTGGTGTAGTCGATTTTTGGTAAAGAATTCAAATGCTATGCGAAGTATTCGAATACTAAATATTTGTGAAAGTATTTGAGTTACAAATACAAATACTGCTTCCATAAAAGTATTTAGTTACAAAGTGTTTGAATACTTTAAAGGATTTGAATACTAAAAAGTATTTACAAAATCGAATACTGCCCAGCTCTGCTTTGTTATTATTATACTTACAGATTTGGTTAAATTGGAAAAGTTGTATAGTTTTTTTTGCTAATAGATATTCCGATGCGAGATTTTGAAAAAAATAAATCGTTTCGTAGATAATTGATAAAAAATGAAAAATCGGCATTTAGAAAAATTAAAATACCTATTTTAGTAACAGAGCTATCGAAACAACTTTCAAATAAAAGTTGCAAGATTCGATTGGATAAATTCAATGGATGTAGAAAAAAAATGTTGCAAAATGGCGGATTTCCAGATATTGACATCAACTTCCTTATTTTAAATGGACGCCATTTTTGATTTTTACGTCACTCGATAGAGACAAAAATACAAAACCAACGAGCGAGACAATAAACGATCGAATTTGGTTTCAATCATAATCGGCTATGGAATTATTGCTATAAGATATAGGTATACATTGTAAACTTCGAGGCAAAAATGCAATGTTTTGTAATTTTTTCTCTATGGAGTGACTGAAAAATCCAATATGGGTCCATACAAAACAAAACAAAACGAAGTTGATATCAATATCTCCAACACCGCCATTTTGAAAAAAAATTTGTATTGAATATCCATTGAATTTATCCGATCGACTCTTGCAACTTCCATCTGAAACCTTTTTCGATAGCTCTTTTTGTTACTAAAATATTTGTATTTTTTTTAATGGCGATTTTCACATTTTTCCAATTATCTACAAAACGAATTATTTTTTTCTTAATAAATATCGCATCGGAATATCCATCAACATCAAAGACTATACGTAAACTTTGCCAATTTAACCGAATTTGTAAGTATAATAATAACAAAGATAGCCTCCTCAATTTAACACCCTGAATACACCACGATAGAGAAGCAAGTGCCTCAGGGTGCCTCAGGGTGTAATCTTCGTGCTTAGGCAATAATACGTCTAGTATTATTCTCTACCTTAGTATATAATGTACTATTACATAGAATCACATAAAATTTCAATAATATCAACCCCTAACCTTATAATGACTTGAACATGACAGAAATTTTGAAAAATCTTGAATAGCTTGAAAACCTTTGATGCTATTATAACATTTAGCAATAAATGCTGGCAGGACAATTATTTATGTCTTAATTTCTTTCATATTAAAAATTCTTTCAAACCTCATGTAAATACAAAGGTAAATATTAAATAGGTAAATGTGAAAATAAATAATGATTAACACGTATCTAGTATTTCATCTCATGTATAGTATTCATTTCACATCCATGCACATTTCGCATACTATGCATCTTCGTGGACACGTTATTTATAACCGTTAGGTACTACGTATAACATTGAAAAAGCAAATCTAAAGTCTATATCAATTTCCACTTACAGTGAAATTTCGGGAAAGTACAAGGGAAGTTTGGAGGAAGTTCGGAGGAAGTACAAGGAAGTACTGGGAAGTAAGAGGAAGTACTGGGAAGTATGAGGGGGTAAAGGGGAGTACGGGGAAGTATAGGGAAGTTAAGAGGAAGTACTGAAGGACTTCCTCCGAAGGGGAAGTATTTACAAATTTTAGGTCTGGTGATTACCCCCTGCTAAGTACCAAAGTACCGGTTTATAAACTCTTGGTTCTTCTTCTTGACTTCTGCGAACTCTATTACAGATTTAGTGAAAAGTACAACGACTACGGTTACGAAAATGACACAAATAATAGTCACTAGCAGGACTTTGCAGGAGACTTTACGAACTCGACCCTTAAAAAGAACATTTGTATCAGCATCTCGAGTTATAATAATTTTCAAGTGTACCTACCTTACTAAACTGCTGTTGATGTGGTGGTATTGCATTTACAGATGCAGTGGTCAGATCATGGTTTACCAAAACCGTCCAGCTATCACCTGAGGTTGAAGACAAGTTGTTACTAGGTTGATTCGGTCCTGTCCTAATTGAGTACGGGATAGTGCTGCACCTGTGAGTGTGTGACACATTTGTCTGTCCAGTAGCTTCGTAGTATGACGGAGGCGGTTCGTTTAGTCCAAATTTATTTTCCATTTTGCTTCCACAAAAATTATCGAAACCTCAACTGGTGAATCAACGAATTAGTACACTGTGTTTAGTGATCAGTCATCTTTGAGCGTTGTTATATAGATACGTCGTGAACATCAAATGATACAAAATGATAAGATAAGTGCATTGTCGTCATTAGATGATTAGTAGATTCGGTTTTGGTATTTTAAGTGTCTTGAATTGACAATCCCTTTGAGATAAATAAAGCATAGATTTACATAACAGGTTTTTTTGGGATTAAATATCTCCTCCCAGATCTTTTCAATCTTGATTCCGGGTTTGAAGGTCTATAGCATACTGTTTTGTTTGGGTGGTTCGGGGTGACTTTTTGTTTATTGAAAGCCATATTCTTCCCAATTTTTACTACCTTCTGGTTCTGAGCACCGCCCGTCCAAGTTGAATTGGTTCTAGACAATCCGTGAAAACGGCGTGGGGGTTACTGCCACTTATTGAGGGCTAATATGAACGAGAGTGTTAGAATAAAACAAAGAGATCTGCGTAGGTACTGAATGTTTTAACGATTGATTAACTTTATCGGATTACAATAACATTTAATTCATCTGCACAATCAATACATTGGCCAACTAACCAGCGTTGTCTTAATACTATGTTTAGTTTTGTCATGCGAAGATCATACTTAACACAATCACAAGAGAAATAACGACAAAAAAGAGAAACACTCCTACAAGCACCATGTACCCACGTTTCTGATTGTATTTGACCTGTAAATAATTGTTCTATATATCTTTAATTACAAATATTTTACCTTACCTACCCTTATTGACTGTTGATGTTGCGCTGATGCATATTTTGCTATTTCAGTAGATGTACCAACTGCATTCGAATGCGTTTCAGGAAGCAATCCCTGCCTAGTTATAGAACATGGAGGGCCAATTCCCAAGGGATTACTACTTCCAATCGTGTAAAGTGAATTTTGGACTGTGCATAGTACGGTAGCTATGGAATATGGTGGGGGCGCATCTCTTGAGGACTCTCTGCTTTCCATGTTTATCGTTTCAATAGATATTACCTTTTAATTGTTTCTCCACGACAACCTTGCACTCTCACGAGAAACTAATTGCATTGGATACAAGCCTAAGCAAGTATTATACAACCAGGCGCAATCAATAAGTACCTATTCAATCTACCGATAAAAATATCATCCTGTGACACTCCGGTGCATACAAGTTATTTGCAAAGGATCGCAATAGGTATTTACATAAAAGTCAGGAAAATGGCGACGAAATATTGAAGTACGAAACCCCTGTGGGGCGAGTACTTTAATTTCCGATTCAAGTAATGTCATTTTACTGGCGAGTACTAAATTTTACCCGAAATCGCCTGTTTTTTAATATAAAACTTCAATTTTCATGTAGAATTTTTGATTAATTGTCAATATGCCACTTATGACAAGAGTCATTATTGACATTTAGCAATGTGACAGACGCGACCGGTAAAGTGACTGGCGGCAGGAAAGGTAGTCCAGTCATGGAATAGTAGATTGTGTATTTTGTAGTAAAAAGCAATACATTCCCGGACGACAATGTAAATTGTTGGCCGAGGCGATCATCATTATCGGCCCTACTATAACGAGAGGTGAGTTTATAGCACATTTGCTGCATCTTAATAATGAGTTCTGACCAACAATTAGCATCCCTTTAATTAGATTGTTAAAAATACCAACCCCTCTTCATCATTACACTAGCTCTGAGGTTTATTTTGTAGTACGTTATTTGATTGTGAATTAAAGTACTGCCATATCAGTCTATTTCCAAGTTTAACGTGTGATTTTAGATTATGGAAGGAGGAAGTCAATAATCAAGCGTATCTTTGGGGGAATCCACGTTGATGTTCGATTGGTGTGATTTCAAATAGAGTAAATCTATATTAGGTTGAAAAACCTCCTCCATACTTCAATGCTTAATCAATCTAAATCATTTTACATTGTCTACTAAATAAATAAACATTTGCGAAACATTAGTAAAACATACATTCGTAATTTTTATTTCAAAAATAAATTAATCTGGTCATCCAAGAGTACGGCATGTTCTTATATAGGTACCATTTAGTAGCAATTACTTTTACATGAATCAATCATCAGCACACATCTATCACTTGCTAAGTACCAAAGTACTGGTTTGTAAACTCTCGCTGCTTCACCTTGGGTTCTGTGAACTATATTGCAGACTACATAGCGGAAACAAAAACGATTGGGATTAGGAACATAAGGCAAATAATAGTCACTAACAGAACTTTGCAGGAAAGGACTTTACGAACTGTATCCTTAAAAAGAACATTTTTATCGGCATCTCGAGTTATAGTAATATAGTAATAAACCTACCTTACTAAAGTACTGTTGATGTGGTGGTATTGCATTTACAGATTCAGTTGTCAGATCATGGTTTACCGAAACCGTGCAGCTATCGCCAGGGGTTGAAGACAAGTTGTTACTAAGTCCTGTCCTAATTGAGTGCGGGATATTGCTGCTCCTGTGAATGTGTGACACATTTGTCTGTCTGGTAGCTTCGAAGTATGACGGAGGTATGTGTGACGCATTTGTCTGTCTAGTAGCTTCGAAGTATGACGGAGGCGGTCCGTTTAATCCAAAATTATTTTCCATTTTGCGTCCACAAAAATTATCGACACTTCAATTGGTGAATCAACTGTTGACTGCACCGTGTTAGTCATCACTGAGCGTTGTTATATACTATATAGATATGTCGAGAACATGGATTGATAAAAAATGATAAGATTAGTGCATTACCAATAACCATTTGATTCAGAGGTCCAATCGACAAAATACGAGACGTTTTGGAATCTACGAAGCTAAATTCATAGGAAAAAATGTTTTCCCGAACATTTTTGAAGTATAGTAGATTTTCGATGAAAATGCAAATTTTCTGAAATCGACCAGGAAAAAACATTCTCTTATAGATTTTGATCTGTATATGCTATAACTGCCAACAGTTTGAAGATTGGGTTGAAGATTGGGCCACTAGATCGAAAATTACAGCCCCTTAAATTTTTTTCGAAATTGGTTTGAAATATTACCTTGAAATAAAACTCGGTCCTTCTAAAGAGCTCTCTTGAGTCTTGTCGCGAGTCCGATCCTGTAACAAAAAGAAAATCCACGCACCTAAACTTTGTGGTACCGTGGTGAACTAATTACTGGCTGAAGGGCCAATGCATATTACTTGTGGCCGTAAGTCTAAATTCGAAAACATACGCACTGGGTGTAGCAATCAGAAGGATAACTACCTACCTACCTGAAGTAAACATAAATGCAACTACCGCGTTCAAGTCGATCATACATCCGTAGAAATGACGGCAAAATTACTATCCTGTTCAGTTACAATGGAAAATTTATTCCTGAAGTATTTAACGATACGCTTATAACACACAGAAGCAACAGAAGGTATCTTTTGACTGGTTAAATTTCTCTGGTGAAAAGTGTCCAGATAGTCGGTGCAATCAATACAGTGGCTTTAAAGTGGTCGTTCTCTCCCTGGATAAGATCGACGCCCCAATTAAATCGATACCTTCTCACGGAAACACTCTGCTAGTGTTCAGCAGGAAATACCTAAAGGAGGCAAAGCCCTCTAAAAATACTACATCAAACCGCCGCACCGTATTAAAATTTAATAATATTAAAGGTTAATGAGAGGGCGTAGAAACCAATTAATACGTATAACGATGTTAAATTATTAAAATATTACATCGGATCAATCGTCAGATATCGGATGTCTGAAAAGAAAATGCACCAAGTAAAAATGGGAAAAAATTCCCATTCAAATCCTCAATAACGGGGTCAGTGCAAATCGAAACAAACTCAATCTCGAAATCGCAATTAAAGGTGAATCGTGAAAGATAGAACAGCTTCTTGATTCAAAGTTCAATCCACAATGAGTGAATTAGCGCTCGCCCAACGCGCCGAATGAGAAGTTTATCGGAAAAGAGATGGAATGGAAGAAAAGCCCTGTCATTTCTGCGCTAAAAAATTGCGTGGTTAAATTCCAACAATACATAGAACCATCTATGAAATCGTTTCACATGTTACGGAGGTTCTTCGACACGTAGTAAACTCTAAACAATAATAATGCTTCGCAATGGAGAAAATAAATCGTAACACACGATTGGAATAATATTTGAGGTCGATGACTACTACTACAGGGGCACAGGTAAGCCCATATGAGTAGGGGTTGGCAACCATTCAGGTTCGAACTACCCGATTCTCTTATATTGTAACGAAGCATTATCGGTTTCGTAGACGAATTATATCAAATTTAATACACATTGACAAAAGCTAACAGCTTAAATGAATACCCGGTTCTTAGACACACTCAAACCAGGACTTCTTACGAGAAACTGTAGCTTCTGGACCTATTAACTTATTAGTCCATTAGCTAGTAGCCCATTACTAGCAGAAATTGCTTTGATTTTTAGAGTCGTTTAACCGCTGATAAGAAAAACCAGCTGCCGAACATAATTGTGACGCTTATGCGATTGTTTTTGTAGCATCCGACAGCCCTCGGCATGGGGAAGCAAGGAAAAAATTGTTTAGGATTTCAGCCCCGTTAATTAATTAACCGATTTTAGGTTCCAAATGTTAAACGAAACCAAGCGTTAAACCTGTAAGGTCGTGCAGTTTATTTCGTTATCGCAGACCCTTTCCGATAGACCAGAAATTTCATGTTGCAATGGGCATGAATGTCCAACCGAATTTGAAAATTTTAATCCGGTCAATCAAGTGAGTATATAATTAACCGTGGTTAATTAATTGTTTTATAATCAAATGAACTGTAATTCTACTAATGTTTTGCACTTACCCTTTTGATGTAGTTTCTTCGCACAAAGGGATAAGGAAACGGAACAAGATAAAAGGAAGATGTGAGGGTAAATGCAATATTGAACTATTATGGAACTACCAGTTCGTTCTTCGCTTTTCACAAATTCCACTGAGTCAATTTTAATTGCTTTTGTCACGGATCAGAGATTTAAAAATTGTATGAGCACACGGAAAACGACTTATTCTCACGACGGACTGAATGCGAGTAACAGTTATCTACTCGACCCTGGCAGATTACAAACTTCTATCAGAAAAATAAAATAGTCATTACTATGCTTTGAAAACCAAGCATTAGTTGAGCTGTAGCAAACCTCGTCTGATTAGATTGGGTCTAGTCTTAAAAGAAGCCCGCTTAATTAACTTAAATTTTAAGATTAGTCCACGATTTTTAGGACACTAGGGAGCCCGATAAGTAAATAAGTTTTAATTTGTGGGCGTTATCAAATTCCGACGTTCCATTTCCGTATTTTGGGAATAAATCGTACGACGTTGTCGAAGTTGAGTATGAGAATGAAACTTGCAAAATAAACTCAAAAGCGTCGGGGTATACAAAAAAGTCATGTTAGATACGTAGCGGACAGGTCCAGTTTCTTTATTAATACAATTTTTTACGTTTGTATTCTGTGGTGGGTAGAAAAATTATCGTTTTCAACGTCAGGGAACGAAGTCCTGGGGAGAAGAATTGACTATTACCTACCATCTGGTTATCACTATAAGTAAACTAGCGGTAGTTCGTAGTTTGAAAGTCTCCATTTTATTATAGTTTGTTGAAGATTGATTCAAAACTACTAGACTAGAGGTACTTAAAATGGGCCCTTGAACTTTTACAGGAGTCAAGGGTCTAGTGGCTAAAAATGTGGTAGGTACAAATTATGCTTCCGCCATTACGTGCTTATTTATTTGACGTTTCCCAGGAATTGATTATTAATTCAAGCGATTAATGGGTCGCTTTTATCAGCTCTTGATTGACAAGCAATACCTGAGAAATTAAGATGGACAAGCAGATACATATAATATGCAAAAACGCAACATTGGTATAACTTAAAAGCTATTTTTGTTACACTTAAACCATCAAACACTCACGTTTTTAACTTTATCATACGTTAATCGTAATAAACACCAACATAAAAATAATGAAACCAACAGACAATGCTACTGCAATAGCAATAGATCCACGACTACGTTTATGTCCGGCCTGTAAATAAGTTTTCTTTGTGCCTTTAGTTTATAATTGATTTCTACCTACCTGTATAATTGGCCCATTGTGCGGTGGTGTTACCCTTAAAGCTGGAATTGTTGACTGTTGATGTACAAGTGGTGATACATATACAACCTGATGGGCATTCGAAACCTGTTGAGCTCCAGCTAAGTGATAGGACAACGCACCATCTTCATATGGATAACCCCCAAATGCGTAAGGTAAAATTTGAGGATAAAAAGATTGCGTATCTGGTGCTACTATTGCGGAATATGAAGGAGGCGCATCTCCTGATGGCCCTTTGTTCTCCATATGTTAAATAGTGCTCCGCAACAAGATACCAAGTAAGTAGCTAAAAAATTTTGTGGGCAACCAAGAGAGAAAATATACTTATATAGTGGTTCACCATATACATCTATAGTTAGATTGGTCCAACAATGAATCGATTTCGTCGCCTGAAATTGTACCAGATTAGAACAATACACAAACCCAATTAGACCTTCACTTCACCCCGACACTGATATGGATCTTTAATCGATGTAGGTACTTGGTAAATAAAGCAGAGACGGTGTTGTCTATGGAAGTGTTTAAACGATTAGATAAAAAGAAGAATACCGTACTGCCTGCGTCATCCTATAATGTGACAGTGTAATAAACTCAGGTATATTCAAACACCTTAATAAAGTTCTGCCCAATCAAAACGCTGGAAAATAAAACCATTCGGAATTAACGCGTTTTAAACATTAAAATGGATTATGTGAGTATCAATTTACCTATTTACCTTTCTACATGAGGGTCTGTGCATGTAAATATACAAGTAAAAACAAGGACCGTTTCTGAAAATATTTGATCCTACAATTGAGCGCATTACTCAAATTGAAAGGTGTTGGTTGACACTGTCCGTTCTATTTTTTTTTACTCGAAGATGTTATTAATTTTTAAGTTTTTGTTCAAGATTCCTTATAATAAAAATGTCTCAACTGGTAGGGTAGTTTTGATCCACCTTTAGAATGATTCAACATTCCTTCAGATTTCTGCAGATTTCTTTGTAAATGGCTGAAACGCTTGCAAGAGTTCTGAATGGTTCCTCTCTAGTGAAAAAACAAAAGACGGCAGCTTATTTCAGGCAAATGTAATAGAATAAGCATGAAAACAAGTTAAAAAGTCCTTATGCAAACATAAATGACGATAGCATTGCGCATTGTCTACATTAGAAATTTTATTGAATATCTACCTTCATAAATAAAACATACCAGCATGCGTTAACAGTAATTTTGAAACCGGTATTAGTTTTAGTTTCATTCAAGGTGCCTACATATGATATTTCGTTTACCTGCTTTCATAAATAAGAAAGTTGCCATTGCGCATGCGCAAAACCAAATTTTAAAACTGGTGTTAGATTTGGTTGTATTCCATCCAAGTGCCTATGTATTAAATTTCATTTAAATCCCTCCATAAACAAGAAGGGTGGCATTGCGCATGGGCAAAACAACATTTTGAAAACGTTAATTTTACTTATATTCCTAGTGTTTACATATAAAGTTTCATTTAAATATCTTCATAAAGAAAAAAGGTAACATTGCACATGCGTTAAACCAAATTTTTGACACTGCGAATGCGAAAACCAAAAAAATATGTGTATGCACGGAATCCTTGGACCAAGCCCTTTCAAATGAGCTCTATCAAAATCGGTTCAGTGGTTTAGATGGAGTACGTGTGACGGACGGACGAACGTCAAAGTGCAGCCGATAGCGATTTTTCACTTTGAGGAAAATACGCTAAAAAGGTCACGAGTGCTTAAACCATTTTCGTTTCGCATCTGCGCTAATAAGAAAGTTACCCATTTAATCCCATCGAAATTGGACCACACTGTACGGTAATATCATATATTATGACGTATTTCTTGTTATGCACTGAAAATGCTTTCATTTGTAGGCATACAATATAGTAATAAATAAAGAAGTATTATTATTACTATTAATAGTAGAGGAAACGAGGTTTCTATTATGCCAAATGGCGCTTTAACCCTGGGAGGGGTTGCCACCCCATCTCGCGAATGGAAATTTGTAGCGCATTCCACAAAAATCCGTTATTATGGCCACTTTCCGTCCGTCTGTCGGTCACTACGGCTGTGTCGCTACTAGATCTTTAACTTTAGCGCTGTTGTTCTACTTCTTAACGCATTTTTGAAAATTCATTTGTAAAAAGGTAGCTTTTAATCTCACTTGGCCGGCTGGCTGGCTGGCAGCAAATGCGGGTCCGTAGAAGAACGCTTGTAGAAAGACGAAGATTGTACATGTACCTATACCGGTGCCGTGTAATTAACAAGTTTGGGGATGGGGCAACACGATGTGGGGTCGACAATGTCTGGGCGCCATTCCCGAGCTTGTACTAACGTGGTGATTTTCCAAACGCGCACAACACCTGCGTGACGGATTTTGTTTTTTTCCTAGTGACGAAATTAATCACCTTTTGCAAGACGCGCGTCTTCGAGGTGTAGTTGACTTTTGAGCGGCCAAAAGTGTCGCCAACTGAAGTTCGAGCTATGAGAAGTGATTCAAAAATGGAGTAGGTACTGGAAGGTGTTTAGCGAAATGTGGAAAAATGCGAATTGCGGGTAAACGGGACGTCGGTAGCGAGTACCGACAAAGGGAAAGCGATTGCCCCAAGATCTTACTGATGGTGGAGTTAAAACTTCAAACTATACCTAGTTTAGAAAATTCGAAATTTGTTAAATTGCTTCTAGGGTTTTTCCAGGGCGTTCTGGCGCTGTTCTAAAGCGTTATACCTTCTCTCCCGCGCCTTAAATGTGTCTTTAGGACCTTATAGGTACTTTACAGGGTATACTATTACAGCGTTACGGAGCATACCTCCAAGGCGCTTGTCCTGATTAAACTGAAAAAACTGTTTAATTTTCTAAGGCTGTTAGTGCCTTCAGGAAATTCTTATGTGCCTCTATAATGCACGTAAGTGGTCAAGGGAAAGCACATATCACGTTAAGGAACGAGCTAAAAACCTTTTAAAATGCTTTCCACGTCTTCAAATGTCTTCGAAAGCTGCTGGGTTTTTCTAGAGATTTTAGAGCGTTCCCGGATTTGTTAAAACTTTCTTCAGAGATGTTTAAAGATTTTTCTCACCATCCTAGATCCTTTCGCACAATATCATCTAGTTCTAACCGCTCTGGTCTTCTAACTTCCATTTCGTTTTTAATTAGGTATTTAACTTCTATCGTAAATTTGGCGAAAGGTTTTGTTCCAAATTAATTGTCTTGAAAATCTTTACCGTATGCCGTTAAACACAAAAGTTGATTTCTAGTTCTCGAGATGTAATACCGCCAGCTTCCAATAAATTGATTTTTACCTTCGTTTAAGTACATTAGTATAGACGTTGTTACGAATAAGGCCGCTAATAAGTTTCCTTTGCCCCACAATCTACTGCAATTCTTTTATTTACACACGTATAAAAATTACGGGTAACCACATAATAATTTATCACGAACCCTACTTTTAGGAATTATCGCTATTTAGTACTTATATGTGTTTATCCGAAATGCTAATTCTTTACCACTCTCCGTATGAAATTTACTCAATAAAATGCATGTTCCAGTTCTTGAAATCACACCACGAATCTTCCCACATGGTGCGAGGAAAACAATTTCTAATAAATCTTTAACAGTAGAACAGCTCACGCACAAATCGTGTACGTGATCGCTCGTACATTCCTCTCTGAATCTAATTTTTAACGCCCCTCATCTCGCCAAACTTCTTTCGCTATTTGTATCTCGCCCGGTAAAAATACCCAAACGGGCCCTATTTTCTGAACAAAGCAAACGTGACTGGCAAACCCTTTTAAGCGAACCGTAATCCTGCATTTTCGTGACGGAAACTTTCAGGTCCGAAGAGAAGGTCGTCAACACGCTCGCTTGCCGCAATACGTTTCTTGATATGTCTTGTTGTCGCCAGACATGTTTTCTTTCAAGTTCTCTATGTAGCGGTACACAAAATATAAATTCGAAAAATTACATTCTGAAGCGACCACCCGGGCGCGAACATTTCAAATTGCTAAGAAAGTTTACAGATTCTTATTCATCCAGTGTAATCCAAGTGCTTACCACATCATTTCCCTCGCAAATGCGTTCGAATGTCTCCCCTCACAGCTGTTTATAGCTTATCCAGAAATTTTTAAGCATAGACAAGACCTTTTGAAGAGTTCTTTAGTTTTCTATTTTCTTTTCAAACATTGTAGGCAATTTTCTAGGCTGTTCCATACTTTCAGGGTCCTTTGTCCTTATGTGCCGTCAGAGATTTTCACGAGCTTACTGTATCTCCTTTTCAAAGGCTATTGGTGTCTTCAGAAAAATTGTTACGTGCTCGAAAGAGCTGTCGATGCATCATATATACCATCCCAGAGTTTTTGGAGTCTTCAAATGTCTTCGAAAGCTACTGGAACTGTAACTTTAGCTTTCAAACTGCACGTTGTGTTGCCTATAAGTAGGTGAGAAAATCAGAACCGACTAAGGGCCGGTTGCACAAAGACAGTTTAAACCTAGCTTAGAATTACCAGTGGATTACGGATTGGTTGAAATTTGACGTTTTGTCAAATTTCCACCACTAATCATATGTCTTAATCCATTGCGTTAATAAACTTCGTTTGTGCAACCGGCCCTAAGTGCTGTTTAAACCTGTCTTTTTCGTCCAATACTAATTACATCTAACTTCAGCTTTGTTGTTATAGCTATTTTTGTGGACTATGGTAAATGAGTGATAGCATTACGTCAAGGTCAATCGTCAAATGTGATGAGATAACCCATTTTTTGTAGATTCGGTATCATTTTGGGTGATAAGTTTATTCCAATTTTACTTTAGTTAGAACGGGTTCGAAAAAAATGGCAACTAAAGTTCCATTAAACGATGCACCTCCCCCATATTCCACGGCTACTGCACCCATAGGTTTTCATCTACCGGAAAATCCACAGTACACCACAAGCAGTAGTGGTAATCCGCCATACCCACCTGTCGGTTCCACACCTTATCCAACCGAACAAGGACCAATGCACCCTTTTCCTCAACCGATCGGAATCACCTCGCCGTCACCTTTGAACGCTTATCCAACACACGCTGTATCGGCACCTCTTATGCAGCAACAACCTACAATTGCAGCCTTGAACGCAACGCCGCGTTATCAGTCTTACAGAGGGGTACGTATTTACATCAAACAAAAACAACCCGCGTATGCTAACTCATTTACAGTTTGGATGGAGAAATCGTAAAGGTGGAGCCGTCATCTCGATAATAGTCTTCGTGATTTTTCTCATTATTTTTCTGATTGTATTCTCTACAATTTTCAAGAAGTCGAGTGAATTTCACAAGGAGTTTGAAGAAACCAGACAGAGGCAAGAGGAGTTTAGAAGGAAACATTTTCCTGAGTCCAATAATAATTGGTGAAATAAGCATGGTATAGTTAAGCGGAATGCTTACATCATGCTTTTAAATAGACCACATTTGCCTATAAATATAATCAATTGTACAAATACGATAAGGTGGAAAGCAGGTGGAACAGGAACATTTAGGAAACTGGACCATCATGCTATTTCTTATCGATTATAATTTATTATGCTTTTATTTTTAAGTTGGCGGGGTCAACCCGCTAATAAACCGGATGCCTAAAGCTGGACTTATAGGTATAGCCAAGCATACAATGCCTAAACTGGAACATTTGATCTATTTTTGATACTTTTATATTCATCTGTCTTAATACATACCTAATCTATTATTCAGTAGATTATTTTGTTCATAGTTATTAGGTTAATTAACATAGGTATTGTTCTGTTTCAAATATTTTTATTATATGTAGGTAATTTAAATCTGTTTTGTATATTGTGGAATTATAACTGTCTATGAAACTTTTAGACTGAATCTCATGCCTTCATATTGTATTCTAACTGCTTTATTAAATTTTGGTCTTTTTAAAATGTTGCATTTTGTTATACTTTTACCAGAGTTTTAACTCGCTGCAAACAGCTCATATCAAAATACGGTTTTCGGTATAGTGTTAAGAAAAATGTACAATTCTGGTTAAGCTATTTCTTGAAACTTGCGGCAGGAGTGCAAATCAAATGAATTTATTTGCAAAATTACAAATTAATGCATTGATATGCCTGATAGTTACGCAACACACCTTACACGCAAATTTGACAGCAGTTTAAACAAAAGAAACTAGCTGTGTTTTTAATCCGAATTTGAAACGCTTCAGTCTAAATACGTCACAAACCTACAACCAGTCACGTAGAAGTGAGCCGGCAACCTTGCGTTTGTCGGATATGACGTTTTAAGAGGCACGTTTAACTGCATCTAAAGGGTCCCATTCACATGCGGATATGTACGGCGGACAAATCCGTGTTGCGCTACACACAGGCGGATATGGCTGTACACAGATCACGGACAAATCTCAATAGACGAGCAGGCGGCGTTCTGTCGCTATTTCAGTTCTGTAGTACTACCCCTGGGTTGTGTTCTTTTGAGTGCTGTGGTAATTGGTATGGATCATAAGGAGAAACTGACAATAATTGGAGGATATATAGTATTATTCGAGGTATTATTTGAAGATACGAAAAAAAAGAAACTGTGGTCAAAACAGTGGTTCCTGAAACGAAAAAAATACTCTCATATGAGTTTACTTAGAGAATTGGAAATGAGAGAGTTTCATGATTTGCACAATTTTTTGCGCATGGACAATGAGACATTTGAAACTTTATTAGAATATGTTCGCCCAGTTATTGAGAGGAATGATACCCACATGGGCAGTTACCAGTAGAAAGTGATTAATGTACTTAGCAACTTGAAGGAATTTTGAAGACCTAAAATTCAGTTGTGCAATCTCCCCACAGTTTCTCAGAAAAATTATACCTGAAACTTTCAAATAAGCCATCTGCCTTGGCAGAATATGCTCGGAAATGGCATAAAATTATTTCATTAGGTGGAGTAAGCACTACAATCTTTACCAGTACCTATTTAAATTGTTCCCCAAAAATGCGCATTTTGTTATGGAATGTTAATATCACCTTAGTCTTCAAATTTCACTTTTAAAATATCACCAAAAGGTAACTGATCGGATTGTATTTGACTAACAGTTTCACCATCAGTTCGGTGTTGTTCCGCAATTTTGCTTGTAAAGTTACCCAAAAGATCATTCAAATCTTTAGCACAATTTGCGCCTGCATTATATTCAGAGTAATTTAAACAAAATAGTTTTTTCAATGACTGTTTAATTGGAGTAGGATTAGTCGCATTTCCATTTTGATTTCTTAAATTTCCAAACATATTTTCAAGAAGTTCCTATTTTGTGATTCTATGTCCGGCAAACAAATCCGTGAAACGACTACACACGTGCGTATTTGTCGGGCTCGCTGTCCGTGCTCGTCGTCCTGATCGACGGATGGCGAGCAAGATATGTACGCCGAACATGCGGATACACCCTGGGATACACACATACGAATTGATACGGATTTGTCCCGCGTACATGTCCGCCGTACATATCCGCATGTGAATGGCACCTGTAACGCAAAAATGAACATCAAGTGACAAGTGCCTGTGACAGGTGACGCAAGTTACAAATGACATTCTCCTGCAATAATGCCAAGTCGTTATGTCACCCGAATGGTTCTAGGAGCTGATTGGTCGGGCTTATTACGTCACAGAGCCCGCCTCAATCATATCGTTTTGAATAAACCCTTAAAACCGCACATGTTCATAATTTTTTTGCTAATCAACCTCTATTTTTAAATAAACTTTTACTGTCCAAAAAATTGTTTTATGGTTTCAGCTAAAGCTGCGGAATTCAACTATACTGTAAACCCCCATTGAAGCACAGCACAACAGGTTCTTTTTCTGGTGTAATTTTCATTAACAATTCAACCATCGACATGAAATTATATTGTATATGCTGTTGTGAATTGTTCCAAGTAACGGAATTTGCTTATTGGGATATTTAGCAGCAAATAAATCATGTGATTATTGAAATATGTCTGTAACATTTCTATTTTTCTTTCTTTTGTATACATTTTAAATTAATAATAATCTTAATTTAATAAATAATTCAGATATTTACGTTCTGTTGAAAGATGGTGAAAGTATAGGTAAGATTGGTTGCATATCTTAAGGGGAATTTTCGCTTGTATCATTGAATAATAAATCTGATTTATTATTCAATGCTTATTGTAATTGTATATTGAACATACGACATTTGTATCTTCTGAGATAACATTTACGCATTGTATGTAAAAAGCTGGAGAAGTCTTTACTCGGGGGTTTCGCAGAGCAAGAGCAAATAAAATACTTACATTATACGCACACCAAAGGCGATGCCAGGAAAACCTTTTATGGACAAAAAACCAACACCAATACACGCAATAAATCAAGTACGAAACAAAATGCTCAGATCAATAACTTCTCAAATCGTACAATAAAATCAGGTATTGAGTCAAACGCAGTAAATCAACAAGAACAAGTCACAAGAGGTGCCATACAGCCCAGTGGAAAACATGATCAATCAATTTAGTTCAAAAACACATTACACAAATCTTCGATCAAGGATAAACAACTCGTAAAATGATAAATTGCATGTAAATAAAAAATATCAAAATAGCGTGACTACTCCAGCCTCAACTTCAATTAATTTAACACAAAAGGAGAGGCGAGAATGCCAACACTAAGTGTTATCGTGCAAGCAAAACATTTTAAATAAAGGACTGTAATGGGTACTTACTCCACACAAAAAGTTAAGCTAAGAAAAACGTCAAATTAGAGGACCCCCTTTTCATATAGCTGACGCACCGAGCGTTTCGTATTTTTCCCCATACTGCCATTCTTTCAGTTGTGGGCCTAACAATAGGGGAGATTATTACCACAAAGTTAATAAGTTCGCCATGCTTTTATTATCATAATCTTTCAGTGTTTCGTAATGGGTCCCTTTCCTAACTTCTATATAAATAACTATTTTTATATGAACCAAGTTGCAAGATACTATAAAAGAAAACATCTAAGATTATATTATTTTTTAATACTGTTAAATAGAAATGATATAAAAAATAGGTCAAGCACTTATAAAAAATTACACCTAAAATGGATTACAAGAACTCCATTTCTCTTTCAATACCCACAAATTTAAGTTGTTCGGTAGGTCCATATCTAAAAAAAAACCAGAGTGACCTTTCGTGACTCGAAGTAACATACCTGTAATCGAAAAATAACTCTTCGCCTGGTTGTATGGCTCTCTTTGCGAATATTCCGATTCGATGATCGCCATTTACCATCATGACTTTCGCGTAACAATTAGGATTAATTGAGTGATTGGCAAAACGAATTTTATTTCCTTTGCGTGTCGCGTCCACGACAAAGTCTGCAAGTTGAAAGCACTGTAACGAAGTGGAAATGATCGAGTGATAACCCACCGTTATTTAAATTAAACAGGAAACTGCACATGTACTTGTCGTATACTTTGCCGCGCCTATCCGCCTCGTCCTGTGAAATAATTTCGCCGCAATATTCCGAGATAAATTCGTTTTTTTGCGCACTATCCTTGAGGAAGATTCCCCAACCGGCGACATCTGACGGGGCCATTAAGAGATGTTTGTCTGCAATAACTGATAAAGTACACGTCACTTTGGTGATGAACTTACGAAGGCCCCGCTGCACGCTGACGTTCTTGCATGTTATTTTAGAGGCGTCGAATTGATCAGCACCACAAGTTTGGCACAGATCTGGATCACATTCTCGCACTGCCAAATAGCACGGGCATTGCTTCGTGTTACATTGAGCTTTACAACGACAACCGGGAAAACGATTTTGGCCTGTTGGTTATCATTACATTACAGTACACACTTCGGAAATGTCAGGGACTTTCGAAATACTTGAAAAATATGCAAATTGGGAAACATGTAGAATGTTTAGATATATTGCTAGAAATTTGTTTTAGAAACATGCAACTTACAATCTGAGCTGCACTGACAAAATTTCTCGCAAAAGTTCTGAGCTCCAATACAAGGACAAAGTGCATCACACGGAAGACCAGGATGATCGCACGGTGTAAAATTATAAACGTGATTACTGCTAGAATCTTTTTTCAATTGTATCTTACGACAGTGCATAGACCAGAGACGATGTTTCTTCTTCTTCTTCCGTGGTGGGGTGTAATCTCGCAAAGATTCTTCGGTCGGAATATCGGCGTCTTCTTTTTGAGCAAAGTGATATACCTAAGCAGTTCATTCACAATTGTGCATATACAAATTTACAGTGTTAAAAATCAGCCCGTACAAACAATTACCTGTTGGCACGTTTTTGTAAGCATTATTTGGGCAATGGCGCAATAGTTGTTAAGATAGACCTTGTGTAGTGCTCGAAATAAACTTTGATCGGATCCAGTCCATTCCCTATGGTCGTCTTCGCCCATCAGACCTAGTAAGCTAAACGAAGTGGTGGTTGATACGGGATTTGAACCTTCAGTCGAATCTGTCGAAGGAGTCTCACTATCAAATATAGGTATACAATCTGGAACCCAGATTCAAAACAAAATTCATAAAAGGTATAGGGTAAGCAACACTTTATGATGATGATCTGGTGGTTTCGAACGTGAAAAAATGATCGCATTTCGATCTGAGAAAATTACCACCCTCATTTACAGCACTAACCGGATCGATATGTGGGAATGACGGTGCCAACATCTCAGACCTTTCCAACTTTGTATAACACCCACCTTTATTATTGCTATCATTGCTATCTTCGGAGCTAGCTTCATTTCCGGAATCAACCGACTGCTGCTTGCAGACTTTTCGCGGTAGCGACGCCGAATCGTTAGACTCGACCGCATTCGAAGCGTCCTTCGATTGCTTATCTTTGCTCTTTTCGTGCTCCTCCTCCTGCTCCCGCTTCGCGGCCAGTTTCTCCTTGATGCCGTCCTGCGCGAGAAAGCTGTCGACACCGTGACGAAAACAACAGTAATAATTACCAATAGCATGTAGCAATCAGTTCCGCATATCTCCGTAAAAGGTTTCAAGTCCGGGCCTCTCCGCTTTTGTAAGTTGGGACCGGGATGGCACGCCTGAAGCCCTATTCGGAAAAACGAAACGGTGAGTGACGATTGAATTGTAAGCAGAAGGATGATGGATAAGCGAAATTAGCAACTGTATGTTATGCAAGATGAGTCGAAGGTCATGAACGACCTTACCTTGGTGTCCTCAAGAAGCAGCGTGGGGACAAAAATAGCTTGTGACGCAAGCACTGATAGGTATATTTAATTTTCTATTCTAACCATGCCTTAAATTGTATTATTAATTTTTTTAGCTGCAATAAATCGCACTGCATATTCAGGAGAAATGATCGTCACTAAGAACAACTTCTTATTCACAGGATGTAATTAGTTTTTAAAATTTCTAACGGGGCGAGGGGCGGAGGCGCAGCAGTAACAACTAGGCGATATAATGTACGGGTAAAACCGAGAGACACCTTAGTATTAAACTGCTTGAAAAATTTTGCAATTCGAGTTTAATCCTGATCCTGGTGATTGGTTAATGTCTTAAGAAATATTTTAATCAAGCTATAAACACACCTACTATGGGAGCAATTCAAATACCTCAAATCCTGTATTCGCGCACACAAAACTTTTCACTAAAAGGAGGGAGGAAATGGAGCTTTTGGTGAAGATAGTCAGTCTCCGTGGTTGTGAAGTTGTTATAGAAGAAAGTTTAGATAGTACTCTAAGAGATTTTATTACGTCGTTATAAAAGTGAATGTTGTTCACGTTTACAGAAAATTGCTTGTATACAGGGTGTCTTGAGACAGTGAATTACTGCGGAACCTAGTAGGGATATAAAAAATTATTTATATAAAACCTGCTTCATATGGATGGACCTTGCTATGCACATTTCCACATAACTGTCCCAATTTTTTTATACTTAAGTACATTATTATGGGAATCCTTTAACTACCATTTTCCATTAAATACTTCATAATTATCAACTTTAAACGCATTTGCAGGTTTTCCCTAGAAGCAAGTATCACGAGCACAATGCCGGCCCGCTTGGCGCAGATTAAGCATGAATACGGTACTGACAGGCACAGGTCACTTGTTCAAATTTGGGCATAGATATTTGTAAATGTATAGTGAGTGGAGTTGGTAGAACAGAGCTAAGACCCCGCCCACTTAAAAATAAAATAAAAACAATCGCACCAATTCTCTTTCTGATTGTTCTGCATGCTCAAAACCACTTTCCACTTCCATTACCGTCCCTGTCCTCAACTTATCATTAAACAATCTTAAAAACAATCAAAAATTAAATGCGCACGCGCAGAGAATTTTTTTTCACACAGTTCTTTCTTTCTACCCCATACCATCTATTAAGTTAAAGAGAAAATCAAACCTTAGTGCTAAGGTCTCAAACCCTCAGACGAAAATAACAATAGTGAAAGCCACCAAAGGTTTTTAAAGGGGTAAGTAGCCCATTTACATGGAAGTTTATGAAACTATACCTACTCTCCTCAAAATGCAGTGTTTTCTCAAATTAGTGGGTTATTATTCGAAGCGAATAACAGGCACTTACGATGTAAAAAGCAATCATATTTGAAACACCTTCTGCAGAACAATGTATGAAACGAGTGCATTGTCTGCTCCCTCGGCACAGATTCTGCCGTAGGCCCGTCAATATTCGGTGTACACTCTGGAGGTAGCGCATTCGGGTCCATCCTCTCAGTCAGCTCTATGTACCTTAACGAAAGAACTTGTCACATAAGTGAAAAATAATGAAAACTAAGTACTTCTCTCTCAATTGTTCCGCTCGTCCTTTATCGGGAAACTGTAGTGATATGGCTTGAAAAATCACAAACACTGGAAAGTCATCAGGGGATTTACTGGCGGCTTCCTTCTCTTCCTCTTTGCCCTTTTCCTTATCCTTCTTGTCCACCTTGTCCTTTTCTTGGTACTGCATTAAAGCATGCACTAACTCGACGAACAGTTGATCGTCCATGAAGCCCGTCTCACGATCTCCGTGCACCTTCCCATCGTAATTCTTAATCAGTTCCTCTATGAACGTGCCGTCCTGATCCAATACTTCGTCACCCATATACGGGATATTGTGCAGGACTGTCTCGTCCTCGACCATAAAATTCTGTTGAATAGGTGCCCATGTGTACATTGTCGGTATCGGCGTTACGGAATTAATAATTTTTATGGGTATCACTTGAATATCACCTAAGATGAGAAAGTGTGGCGAGACGCTCTCCATTTGCAACTGACTCACCTTCATTCCCGACAATCTCGGCCTTTTTCATACAGGAGACGTGAAGCGGTAGCTCGGGAGTCGAAACCCAAAGCGCTTTACATTCGGTCCAACGTTTTTGATCGTCTATTAAAACCTCATTCATCCTTTCACGATTTTGATTCCAGGACAGTTTCACTTCGTCCGCCCTTTTGTAGCGTTTTGCCTGCCGCAATCTCATATACTCTTGTTTCACCCTCTTCTTCCATTCTAGGCTAATTTTGGCCTTCGCCATGTTAAAATTAATGTAGAGTAAATTATTAAAGATAAAATTAAAAAAATGTTTCCGAAAAAGACGCCATTTTAAAGCTAATGCAGTAGAAAAGCGGGTGCACTGGCTACCGTCTTTTGTTTACAAACACGATGTTCATTCAAACTATTAGTTCAAATGTCCCTGGGAGTTCAAATGTAGAATGATTGACTCTGCCTAATTCCCAAGGAACCCTATTTCCAATGTTACTTAGTATATACAGGATGTCTACGAATTTTAAGTCCATTTTCACTAGTTTTTTTTTACAGTTTTTACATTTCACGTAAAACGTCGATTTTGTCTACTCCATCTCCATTCCTAAAAATCACAATTCTTCTAAAGTTCAAAATTCTTCTCCACTCCCTCTCAGATTTCTCCTAAAATTTCAACAATATCTCTCAATCCTATCAAATTCCTTTCCAGTTTCCGGAAAGTTCGATGTTCCTCCCACGTTCATTTGATGTTTGTATCAAGTTTTCCACAATCGTAATACAAAGTTCACATAATTTCGTCGAAAGGTTCCATAGTTCATGATTACTTTTCAGTTATGGTAAGAGATAATACTGTAAAATTATTTCCCAGAGTTGCTTTTTTGCCGCGCCTAAAAATTTGCCGCTGTGGGCCCCATGCTAAATCCGATCTGTTAGGTACAACCCAAGATGATAAAACCCCTCGCAGATATGCGGATATATTCTTAGACTCTGAGAGTGCATAATGTGACCAAGGGCAACCAAGGTGATGGCTGTGTTATACGAACCCCGGGATGCCAAGGCCATCGTCTTCAAGTGCCTCCAGAGGCAAATCCTGGTTTCAGGACGAGTCTATGGTGGACGTTCTTCCACAGGGAGGAGCCTAGTAGTCTTTTTCGCATTTGGTGTCGATGAGGCATCCAATCGGGCCCTTCAGCAGCAGAAAATTCAAGTGCAGTCGAGGGTCTCGCTCGTCACATGGGTGAGGAAAGCCACGCTGAGAGGTCGGGAAAGATGTCGACGAGCTTTTGGATCGTGTGGAGGTTCCCTAGGAGAGGGGGGAACCTAGTACACGTGATGGACGAGATAACCTTCTTACAAAGCAGTTTGCAACACAGTAAGAGGTCGACCTGTTTAAAAAGTCGTCAACTTACTGTAAAGCAGACAGGCGTATTCCTCATACAAGAACGTTGAGGGTACAGGGAACGCGTAAGAGGTCTGGGTCAGCTGGACGCTAGCACTTGCACTTATAGACGAATCGAGTCTTATCTAAAGGTTGATTTCTGTTTCAGATCTCTAGGACTGCAGCAAAAAGATGACATAGGACGGAGCAGGCTGCAGTTGGTGGTCTGCTCAGCCTATTTCCCGTACGACTTCGAAGAGGCTCCACCTACCAGGGAGCTGGCTGGGTTTTGATAGAATACTTGTTGATTTAGTGGGCTCTCACTTGTGGTTGGCTGTGGTGTAAACGCACAAACTTGAGGTGCGACCATACCTTCTGGAGTGCCTGCAAACAACTGATTTTAATGTTTTAAATCAGGGAGCAGTCTCTACCTTTGCCACAGCACGGAGGCAAGGGGTTAGCGATCTGACGTTGTGCTCCTTTTCAATAGCTCACATGATCACGAATTGAAGGAGTGTCTGGTTAGCAGTCGATCTCGGACCACAGACACATTCTTTTGCAATGAAACCTGGCATCCCACTGCCGGTCCTGAAGGTTTCGGGATCCCCAATCCACTGACAGGGACTGCCTATGTAGCGAAATAACTGTCAGAGCGGTTGGATGGACCACCTTTGCTCTGTAGGAAAGCAGTGTAGGTGGAAGAGGCGGCGGTATTAGTAAACGGACAGCTGACCATTCGAGGAACGAAGAGACTTTGTTTGAACTCCGACCTTGAAAAGGAATTCGTGCGGATGTTCGTAGGCTCTTTAATAGGGCAATGTGAACTAAACTGCGCGCGGACTGGCAAAAACGCTCAGTGCAGGTATAAGGACTACATTCGAAGGTCTAAACGAGGACCATGAAGGATATTCTGTAGTAACGTAGAGGGTCTTCCTGAAGTTGAAATACTTCGTAAGAGACTTTTGAAAGGACCCGGGGCAAAAAGGGGGGCACTGAGGCTTGCATGCGGCAGATATACGTCTACCGCAGGTGAGGCTCCCACATATGTCTCCTGGAAACACACTTTCGAGGCTCTGGGTAAAACGTAATTTCGGACCCACCAAAAGGAGCTACCCGAATCGGTGTACGGTCGATCGAGTGAAAAGTACAGCTGCCCGGGTGAGTACCGAAGCCTCTCTGATCTCTGAGATGGGCGGTTAAGACGTTCAGGCCAATTAAGTGTGTAGGAACGAGCGGGATACTTCCGGCTCTTCTAAAGAAGGGTGGAACCGCTGCTCTTACATTTGATGCACCTCTTTAGAGCCTCCCTGGCTTGACAAACTATAACTTTTCTCCGTGACTCCTTTTCGAGATTAATAGGTTGCGGGGGGGGGGGTTCAAGGTTTCAAGTAAAGTAACGGTTTTCTACTAACTACAGTTCTGTTCCTCGACTCTTTATCAAAATCGGGGGCTGGGGAGGGTAGTTGGTTTCATGGTATTCTAATGAAGGGTCTCAACGAAAGGAATTAATTTAACAAGTACTTTTTTCGGCTTTCGTTGGGATAGAGGTAAAGGCCGAAAAAATGCATGTCAAATCGATATAGAAATGGGGTACTACCACACATTTGAAAGGAATTAATATTTCTACCCGCCACAGTCCTCCTCCCCGAACCCTTATCGTGATCGATGATAATTCCTCATATCTCATAACTTGTCAGAACTTTAAGAGCAAATATCTCAAAAACGGTCTGTCGGAGGAGAGAACTCACAGAGGCAAAAATCAAAAGGAATCGTCTGGACGAGACATATCTATGGGTTAGGTCGAAACGAACTATCGGAAGATGGTACTCTTAAAGAGCAAGTGGAACATCTGGACGAGATGCATCTACTGGTAATGGAAAAACTTTCAGTGCAAATATCTGCTGAACGGAGTGTGGTAGGAAAAGGTACCCTCAAAGGACGATTAGAACGTCAATACCAAACTTGAATGTGAATATCTCGCCATTGGAATGTGAGAGTGCGGCTTGATTCTTCTTGCATTATATAGAGTAGATTTTGAATGTATACCAGGCGTCATTTAAATGTGTAAAGAATTATTAATTACTCATTAATCATTCTACCAAGAAAACAAACATCGATAAATAGCATGCTAGTACCTTGTAACCCAATAATTTTGCTATTTTGGTTTTGGTTTTAAAAATGCACTTTATTTATCCAAACGCTTACCACACGGTATAGGTATTTTCTGTCACGGTCGAGGTAATAAACTACCAGTTATGTAAATGTCTTCCAGAAGCGACCTTAACCTAGTCCCAAGGCGTGATTCAATAATCTCAAATAAATAAATAAAATCTGTATTTTAAAGAGTTAATAATTAGACGAGTTTACTTTGAAGAAAACCGACCAATTTATCTGAACCAACTTGATTGGCTTCCTCGTAGTAAGGCAACTGCTGCATTCGATGCATCCACTTCGAAAGTCTACGATATTTATTTTGCGCGATAGGTATTAGGCCCGATAGGGACGCAAGATGCGCAACAATGCTCAAATCCGCAATGGTAAGCGAGTCCCCTGCCACATAATCGTGATCGCCCAAAAAGATCTCGAGCAAATCGTAGGCGATGTGAACGTTGTCGATTTTTTCCTGTGCAATAGTCTTCTCTCCCTGTCTAAGTATTGGCCCCTATAACTTTAACTTGCATATTTTTGTTCCACTGTCGCGGTATACTTACAACAATCGCAGCCAAGCGTGCTTGAACAACGGAGGCACAGAAGAACAGTCTTTGATCGACGATTCCTCGCTTTTGAGGGTCCCGCGGGTATAAGGAATCATCTTTGGCATACTTGCCGACGAGGTACATGTTGATGGCGTGACTATCCCAGAGGAAGTACCCGTTATCGTCTAAGGTGGGAACTGTGTGTTGGGGATTCATCTAAACGATCAATTCATCATTAGTCCTACTCTCAAGAAACATACATACCTTTAAATATTCCGGTGCCATGTGTTCCCCAACCGAAAGATCGACATTTTTCAAATCTAAGTCTAATCCAATTGCTTGGGCCGTTAATAAAGTTGAACGTGCAGGCGGGCTTAGCTCCGTATAAAATAATTTTGGTGCCATCTTCGTAACACTTCCGATTAACGACTGAATGTGAAATATAAGGAACCGGTTATATACATTTCCTTCAGATGACTCAGTGGAAATAGTGGTACCCACGATTTATGCGTAGTCATTGTACTTACCTACTGATTAGCCATGAGATGACTTTCGTTTATATGTTTCGTTGGAAAACTAATTATTTAATTTCAACTTGTTTGTTATTAAAAAATTTGACTTGAAAAAGTTAATTAGGTACTTTCCGAGGTACTTTCCCTTAGAGATTTGGATGGTTTACGAATCACGAGCTTCCTCAGTTTTGATTTTTCTCTTTTATCCAAAGATGAAAGACTTCCTTTCCCGGAAATTTTTAGACTTGATGTTCTTTCGTAACATGGATTTCACGGAATTCTATCCAAAAACATTGCAGGTTTTGTTTTAGACAGAGGGGACTTGTAATTTAACAGAATGTGTACCATAATCCCATTATTAGTGATTTAAAAAAATGGTAAAAAAGAGCAACATAAATTTTATCGTTTACCGGAAGCAGAAATAAACTAAATAAATTCCTTATGATTGTGCGGTAAGATTTCGCAGATTTAGGGGGTGGATATCTTGGCCTTTAATCTTATAAAATCAGGAGATATGGCGCGTTACTATCTTTTCTGAGATGAATGGATCCTGCAATATTCACACCAGTGATAGTAAACGGGTTCCCACCTGATCTCCTTTCCTTTAGGGAACTGGACCCACTTGTAGTAGTTAAGCACTGTGACGAAGGAACGTCTTGTAGTTCCGAATCACTTTTTGGCAGCGCCCTCCTGGAGTTGATTATCCAATAAGTTACTTTTCTCTCTTTTCACCAAAAAAGTTGACTCCACTATGTCCATGATACAAGTGGACGTCGTGAATCGTGACTTTTTGGTAACAACACGGGAGAGATGAACTCCTTCTTTACAACAAAGTACCAAAATACTTAGGGGTCACGCTTCACATTCAATCGTTCCGTTTTATCTGTTGTACCGAAGAAGGCTTCTTGTTAATGAAACCTCAGTAAGTACACTTCTGCCAGTCGTAACTCACGAATTGATAAGGAAGGCGGCCCTTCCTCTTCTTGTACAAATCGTAAGATCCACCCGTGGATCGCAACGGTCTTTCGATAAGATGATTTTTGCGCTTATAATAAGTTTGCATGCTGATTTTTTTCGGTAAAACTACTCGGAACCCTCCCAACATCTGAATCCAATCCAAGGCCGCTGCATTCAGATTACCGGCGATATGTCTTCGTTGCTCTCGTCCAGTAGATTTAAGTATTTAATTCACCCGATTATAAATAAGCACTCCCCAATCCCCATCCCTTATTGTATCCAAGGGAGTGCAACTGAGGAATTAGTCCGGAAATGGAAACTCGAACTACTCTTATTCCAATTACACGCCATCCCATTAACTCCAAACTTGGAATGCTTACCTTACTGTAACTTTTCTTTTGTAACGGAGGTAACCTTGATTTCGAAAGTAACAATTTGTAAGTAAATTCAAACCACAGCTCTTGTCAGTCTTCAAGAAAACAGCAGCAGTATAGGCATATAAAAAGGCGTCAGAAAAAACATGAAGTTGAAGGCTAGACACGTTTCCTACTTGAAAATGATGTGGTAAATTTCTTTTCTTTTTTTTCATCAACGATATCTTCCCATCCTAGATCCTAGATTTCTACTCCAGAGGTTCCTCGAAGCCGCAATTTTACCTGAATTGGAACTGAAAATAAGTATCCCATCGGATCAAACACTGAACACACCTTCCACTGAAAAGAGAATTCATCTCCTTGTAACATCCTTTTCGAACTTCGCATCTGGAAGTGTACTGATCATTTACATGCTGCTGTACTTGCTCTCCCACTCTGACACCCTTTACCTTTGATGAGTTCTGCTTTACATCAGATAGGGGTGATAAAATTTCAAGCATCTGAAGCCAAGCATATTTCTTTACTTTCTGGGTGGGTTACTTCTTTCCCTTTCCAACATTTGGCAGAGCCATGATTTTTATCACATTTGATAGTAACAATCCGGAGGCTGCGGAAACATTATCTTCTTGAATATTACTTTAATTCTGGCGTCCTCCGAGGATTATAAGTTGCCCGAGGGTTAAATATGGAGTAATGCCCCAGGTGCATACAACATTCTATTTTTCATCGTTCCTAAATAATGCATTTCCAATATAGTCTAGGCGATAAAGACATCTAACTGGACATTTTGAGGTGGAAAAGAAAAAAATGGTGGAATATGTTCAGTTAGGTGTCAGAAACAACATATTAAAAATCCCACCCCCCAGACCCTGTGCTAAAGGCTCCAGCCACCCCACCATCCCCCAAAAACCGTGTTTTCGCTCTTTTTGGCTGATATCTCGCGATCTATGAGGTCTATATGAAATATTTTTAGCTGAAAATATTTCTCGGGAAATTTTATGCAAGGTAGATACTCAGAAGTTAGCCTAGGTGTACCTCTTAGCCTAGGAAATTCATAAAAGAGGCGAAAATCATCAATTTTCGTGGCTTTTTGCAAATATATCGCGACCTTTAGGGCTAGATGAAATATTTTTAGCTGAAAATGCTCCTCGTGAAATTTCTTACAAGGTAGATACTCAGAAGTTAGCCTAGGTGTACCTCTTAGCCTAGGAAATTCATAAAAGGAGGCGAAAATCATCAATTTTCGTGTTTTTTGTCGCTGGAAAAGGTGCAGGTAACTTTTGCCGCTGTCAAAGTGACAATTTCACTGCAGCTTATGCGATTTTTAGCGCATTTTTGCAAAAAATTTTTTTTGTAAAAAGTAGCTTTTAATCTCACTTTGGCTGGCTGGCTGGCTGCTGGCTGGCTGGCTGGCTGGCTGGCTGGCTGGCAGCAAATGTGGGCGCGTAGAAGAACTCTTGTAGAAAGGCAACGGGTGTACGTGTATCTACAGGGCCGTGAAATTTGTCAACCTTAGGGACATGGCTACATGATGTGGGGTTGGCGACATCTGGGCGTCATCCTCGAGCGTAGTATACTAACGTGAAGGTTTTCAGTTTTTTCCTATCTTCTACTACAGTTTTGGTCCGATTCTTTTCAAATTGGTGTCGTCGGAAAGATGTAAACGCGCACAACTCCTGCGTGGCGGAATTTTGTTTTTTGTCATAGGGGCGAAATTAACGACCTTTTGCGAGGCGGCGCGCGCGTCTTCGAGAAGTAGCCAGGCGCCTTTTACCTTCCGTTGCGAACTCACGCGGTTTAACGTTTCGTGAATCTCGAATCGCTGTCTCTCTTTCTCGTGTCGCCAATAGAAGTGAAATGCGAGTGAACGGGACGTCGGAAGTGGGTACCGTAAAAGAGAATGTGGTAGCCCGCGACACGATCTCTTCCTGATGGTGGAGTCAAATCTTCAACCGCGAATTGCGGGTGAACGGGACGTCGGAAGGGAGTACCGTCAAAGGAAATGTGGTAGCCCCCGACACGATTTTCCTGATGGTGGAGTCAAATCTTCAAACGCGAATTGCTGGTGAACGGGACGTCGGAAGGAGGTACCGTCAAAGGGATTGTGGTAGCCCCCGACACGATCTTCCTGATGGTGGAGTCAAATCTTCAAACGCGAATTGCGGGTGAACGGGACGTCGGAAGGGGGTACCGTCAAAGGAAGTGTGGTAGCCCCCGACACGATTTTCCTGATGGTGGAGTCAAATCTAGCCCCCGACACGATCTTCCTGATGGTGGAGTCAAATCTTCAAACGCGAATTGCGGGTGAACGGGACGTCGGAAGTGGGTACCGTAAAAGGGAATGTGGTAGCCTGCGACACGATCTCACTGATGGTGGAGTCAAATCTTCAATCGCGAATTGCGGGTGAACGGGACGTCGGAAGGGGGTACCGTCAACGGGAATGTGGTAGCCCCCGACACGATCTTCCTGATGGTGGAGTCAAATCTTCAAACGCGAATTGCGGGTGAACGGGACGTCGGAAGGGGTACCGTCAAAGGGAATGTGGTAGCCCCCGACACGATCTTCCTGATGGTGGAGTCAAATCTTCAAACGCGAATTGCTGGTGAACGGGACGTCGGAAGGGGGTACCGTCAAAGGGAATGTGGTAGCCCCCGACACGATCTTCCTGATGGTGGAGTCAAATCTTCAAACGCGAATTGCGGGTGAACGGGACGTCGGAAGTGGGTACCGTCAAAGGGAATGTGGTAGCCCCCGACACGATCTTCCTGATGGTGGAGTCAAATCTTCAAACGCGAATTGCGGGTGAACGGGACGTCGGAAGGAGGTACCGTCAAAGGGAATGTGGTAGCCCCCGACACGATCTTCCTGATGGTGGAGTCAAATCTTCAAACGCGAATTGCGGGTGAACGGGACGTCGGAAGTGGGTACCGTAAAAGGGAATGTGGTAGCCCGCGACACGATCTCACTGATGGTGGTGTCAAATCTTCAATCGCGAATTGCGGGCGAACGGGACGTCGGAAGGGGGTAACGTCAAAGGAAATGTGGTAGCCCCCGACACGATCTTCCTGATGGTGGAGTCAAATCTTCAAACGCGAATTGCGAGTGAACCGAACGTCGGAAGTGGGTACCGTCAAAGGGAATGTGGTAGCCCCCGACACGATCTTCCTGATGGTGGAGTCAAATCTTTAAAAGCGAATTGCGGGTGCACGAGGAAAGTGGGAAGCGGTTAGTGAATGTAGTATCCTTCGACAAGATCTGTTATTGATGGTTGAATCGAAAGTGGCTAATAGAATACTGATCTGCCACACAAAAATGCGCTGAAGTCCCTTCGATCTCAAACGAGGACTTTGATAATTTTTTATACATGAGTTGAATTGTCATATTAAAATATTCACACATTCATTTATACCCTAACGTAATCATTATCCTCCGCAGATTCCACTTCTTCAGGCTCTTCGACGTCCTCTAGTGCTAGTGGGTCGTCTGAAATTACCGACTCGTAGTTCTCCTCGCCTTCCGCTTTACCTGCATGGGCACCCTGAAACGACGACGTCCCATTTAGGCACGATGTTCCATGACACTGGACGCAGAATTCGTTCTTCAGACCTACAACATGAAGTATTATGTCAAAAAAATTTTATAATTAAGTAGGTATACGAATATAATATTCTCTCGTGTGTCCTAAGTGTAGGGTAGAGAAGGTTTACCTGATTTTCTGAAACAGTTGCAGGAAATCAGGTAAACCTTCTCTACCGGACACTTAGGACACACGAGAGAATATTATAATCGTATACATAATTATAAACATGTTTTTGACATAATGCTTCTTGTTGTAGGTCTGAAGTGTAATGAACTCTGCGTCCAGTGTCATGGAGCATCGTGCCTAAATGCCACGTCGTCTCTTCAGGGTAAAGCGGAAGACGAGAACTACGAGTCGGTAATCTCAGACGACCCACTACCACTAGAGGACGTCTAAGAGCCTGAAGAAGTGGAATCTGCATCTAGTCTATAACTTTTGATTGAGAAGTCTGATCGAAAAAGTACGAATTGATTTGGAAATATATAAATTAATAAGAAAAATTGTTTTCCCAAGAAATTTTGGTGTAGTCGATTTTTGGTAAAAAAGGAAGGTTATACACTGCCTTTTTTTGAGCCCCGAAAAAAAAATTGTCTCACATGGACCCGGACAAAAATGTTCTTATAGAATGTGGCCTGTAGAATCCATAATTTCAAACAGTTCCAAGATTGGGCTACTAGTTCAAAAGTTACAGCCCTAAGAATTTTTTTTCAAATTGGTTTCTAGTCTATAACTTTTGATTAAGAAGTCTGATCGAAAAAGTACGAATTGATTTGGATAAGTATAAGGGTAATGATTACGTTGAGGTATAAATGAATGTGTGAATATTTTAATATGAGAATACTGTTTTTACGTGAATAAATGGTACTTTGTTTTACTATGAATATTTCCTCACACATGAAAGTTGAAGGTGAAAGGTGACTTTACGCCAACTATTCAGTTACTTATCTCGTATGAAATTGCACGAAGAGCATTTTGAGCTAAACATATTTCATCTAGCCCTGACGGTCGCGATATTTTTGCAAAAAACCGCAAAAAAAAACACGAAAATGATGATTTTCGCCTCCTTTTATGAATTTTCTAGGCTAAGAGGTACACCTAGGCTAACTTCTGAGTATCTACCTTGTAAAAAATTTCACGAGGAGCATTTTCAGCTAAAAATATTTGATCTAGCTCTAAAGGTCGCGATATATTTGCGAAAAGCCACGAAAATTGATGATTTTCGCCGCTTTTATGAATTTCCTAGGCAAAGAGGTACACCTAGGCTAACTTCTGAGTATCTACCTTGTATGAAATTTTCCGAGAAATATTTTCAGCTAAAAATATTTCATATAGACCTCATAGATCGCGAGATATCAGCCAAACAGAGCGAAAACACGGTTTTTGGGGGATGGTGGGGTGGCTGGAGCCTTTAGCACAGGGTCTGGAGGGTGGGATTTTTAATATGTTGTTTTTGACACCTAACTGAACATATTCCACCATTTTTTTCTTTTCCACCTCAAAATGTCCAGTTTGCCAATTTTACAGTCTCTATCGCCTAGACTAATATACAAATGTAATGATTATTGTTTGACCATCATTAAACTGCTTCATACGAATCAAGTAGCATTTTTTTTATTGCATAGGTATAACTCCATCAATATATTGGCAGGAGATGAGATGACAATCCATTATGCCTTCTCATTATGCCCTCGGGCGTCACAGACTGCTTTATATATTTCATGTGACGGATATAATTGGCATATAAAAGGCAAATGAAAAATAAAATAATTAATATTGCAAGTACATACATTTGCAGATTTAAAACGGAGAGAAAGAAGTATACAACAATTAGCATATTAGGTTTATGATTTATTCAGTTATAATTATAAACGGGGCGCATTATTCCAAAATGCACAACACGTTTATTATACATTCTTCTGTTTGGTGTAATTCATGAGAGCATTTACAAAATGTTGGGCAGGCAGTTCAACTGTTAAAGACGCCACTAGAGATAAAAAGAATGTAAGAAACACACAGCCCGCAAAATCGCTAACCTAAAGAGCAAATCGGTAAGTATTATATTTGTACGATTTTGTTTTATTGCTGCTTACTGAGTAACTGTAGCTCGTCACAAAAGGTGCTACCCGAATAGATAGAGTACTGTAGTAGATTACGAATGGGTGGAACAAATACATGTTGTACGACAATCTTGACACTACTTCAAAAAATGGGTGGGATAAAAATCTGTTGACGATACCTAAAATCATTTCAATGTTATATTTGTTGGTATTTATTATACAAGGCGATAAAGGGACGATACAAAACTTTATTTTATAGCAGAAGCCATAGAAATTATTATAAAAATTCTCAACATTCTATAGGTATTTAAACGTGCAAAATAGAAAGCTTAGGCCAACCCGTAGTTTTCATGGGAAAAATACAATATTCTGTTCTAAACTTCATTTTATTTCGTGCGCCACGTCCCCGAATGCGCAATGATTTGTTTCATTCAATCTCAAATTTAACATCTGCTATAGAATAAAAAGGTATTTAAAGGCAAAATTTTTATATAACTCTATGACTAATAGTAATCATGGGAACATCTTCACAAGTACAGAGTGACTAAGACAGAAATGAACAGCATTAGATTACTGTAAGTAACCTCATACGACATCCAGGCTAAACATAAAGACAAATGGGACTCAATGTTACACTGTCCCCATGCAAGAAAGATCATTAGAGGCCCATATTGCAACATCAAAGGTTTTTCCGGAACCTACGTGCTTACATTTGCTTGTAGGGCCACTCTAAACTGAACAAAATCCCCCTTTGCAGTTGAATTTAATATTTAAATTAGGAGTGGAAGATTTTCTTATGTCGTGACTTACCTCCATGCCCGGTATAGCAGCAATATACTATAGATCCTAGTGCCAATAAAAAAGTTGGCCGTATCAGAGCAATATAGACAGATTGCTCCAAGCGGTTGTACTCTGAATTGTGTATGTGATACGCTCCAAACAGAGAAGCAATTATTACAATTATTGAAGCCGTTAATAACACTAGTTTCAGCCGCTGCAAATTACTTCAGTTATACAGTAGGTACACGTATTTTTTCCACCTACCTTATTTTTCGCAGAAACTTTCTTCTCCTTATTATTTACGAAAATAATGTAACTGAATATAAACCCAAATAGCCATGTAGTGGCCCATGTTGGCGTAAAATAATAAACATACTTGCTGTAATTGTAGGTACTATGAGAATAAACAAGGTTAGTTACTTCGGTGCACGCGGATCAATCGAAAACTTACAATTTCCAAAGGTGCACATGTATTTTCATTGTCCAAGCAAGAAGAAATGTACTTAGGCATGATAGTACCGTTAAGCAAATCGCAGCAATCAGTGTTCGTTTCGGCCAACGTTTCAGTGGTATCAGCAAAATCGGTGAAAGGATAAACAACTGAAAGTCGATGGAGAGGTACCATGTTCCTGGCAGGCACTAAAATTGCATACATATAATGGGCAACTCTATATGATTCGGTTTGGACGTTTATGAGCTTGCAGATAATTTACGTTAATCACCTTACCATAAAATATATACAAGGTGTACCGAAGATTGTTTCCACCACCAGTAATTAAAAAAAACTGAATGTGCCCATAAAGTGCTACTAAAAGGGTGTGAACAGCCTAAACACTGTAACGAAGCATCGTACAATTTATTAGCAATTAATAAAATTGGTAAAGGCGATTAATCATTGACGGTTTGGGTACCTACAGTAAAGGAAAAACTAAAATGAGGGTTGTTGACGGTGAATATTTTTGAAATAGTATCACACTATATCGATCACTCCATAGTAGTACATATAATATTTAAAAAAAAAAATTAGTAACCGGGCGAAACAGGGTTTTTTCAGGCAGGTCAAATAAATAGAAATTGGGAAAAATAATTAAAACAGCTGAATTTTTCGGCGGGTGAAATCACGAGGGTTGTAAGGGGTGGAAAGTGGTGTAAATTGTGGCAAAACTATTAATTTTGACGAAAATGTTAAATGTAAAAGTTATGTAGATTACAAAAATGAGCAACTTTTGTATCTGCACTATTTTCACATAACCTCCAATTTTCCTAGAAAAACCCGAAAAACTGTTGTTCTCGTTTTTATTCTTATTTTTGCGAAAAAAGTCGTAGGGGTTTGAAATTTGGAGGAAACATAGCTTGTTTTATGATAAAAAAGAAAATAATTTTTTGGTCCCGTAAAGTCGAACCGTTTCCAAGATCTCACGATTTCTGAAAAAAAACACCTTTTTTTCAAGGAGATGAAAAATCTATTTTTTTTTCATCGTAAAGAGGTGCGCGGGGTAGCAAAATTTTCGGGAAGACTTATATTTTAATAAACAAAAATAAAAATTTCCTATAGCAAAAATTCGAGAAAATCGCCAAAAACTGTAAAAACAGTTTTATGATACCTATACACGGTTTATGACATGATAAATCAACATGTGTTGGATGTTAATAAAGATTTTTTCGAAATCTATCTTCTTGCTTCTCTTTAATGTTCGCTTAAATATTCTCTTTTGTTATCTTTATTATTCCTTTTTTCTGCATTTTTACCGCAATAAAAGCAATTCGAAATAAAATGGGATTATCCTATTCGTGATTCCTGAACGATTTCTTTATGTCTCAAAGCTTATGATTTGAGATGTAAAACCTGGAATCAACTTTATGAGGATTTTATTCATAATTCCTGTAAATTAACGATAAACAGGATCAGCTTAATCCCATCAGCTGTAAAACAGGACGGAAGAAGAGTTAGTGAACAAAAACAAATTGTTCAGGAAGCAAAAGAATTCGATTTTACTTCGAATTGCTTTTATTGTGGTAAAAATGCGCAGAAAAACGAAATAATAAAGATGTTTTAATTTAAGCAGTTGGGGCACTGGGAAACAAAAGAAAATATTTTAGCAACATTAAAGAGGAGAGGAAAGACAGATTTCAAAAACTTTTTATTAGCGCGGATCCATGCAAAAAAGCCTATTTACCTAGGTACTGTCAAAAACGGTATATCTTAAAACTGTTCCCCCCCTTTTTGCCGCTTTTCTTAAAATTTTTCTATTGGAATAATATTTTTATTTTTGATTATTAAAATCTAAGTGGTTACGAAAATTTTGCTACCCCGCACACCTCTGTACGATGAAAAAAAATAGATTTTTCATCCCCTTGAAAAGGAGGCGATGTTTTTCAGAAATCGTGAGATCTAGGAAACGGTTCAACTTTACGGGCCCAAAAAATTATCTCCTTTTTTATCATAAAACAAGCTATGTTCCCTCCAAATTTCAAACTCCTACGACTTTTTCGCAAAAATAAGAATAAAAAACGAAAAAAACAGTTTTTCCGGTTTTTCTAGGAAAATTGGAGGTTATGTGAAAATAGTGCAGATACAAAAGTTGCTCATTTTTTAATCTCTATAACTTTGACATTTAACATTTTTTGTCTAAAATTACTAGTTTTGCCACAATTTGCAAAACACCATTTACCACCCCTTTCAACCCCCGGGACTTCACCCGCGGAAAAATTCAGCTGTTTTAATTATTTTTTCCCTGCCTGACAAATCCGGTTTTGCCCGCCCGGAAACTAATTTTACTCACAATCGGTTAGTATTATCTGAATTCCTAACCTTCATAGCGGTTGCGAAGCGACTCATTACTCACCTTAGCCGGGAAAGTAACTTTCCCGGCTAGCTGTCACTTTCCCGGCTAGCATCTGTCACTTTCCTTACCTGCAAATGCTATTCATATTATCCTTATATGAAACTTATACTAATAGTGACACCGCCAATGTAACCATTAATGTTTACAACAATAGCAAATTACGAAGAAGAACGAACTATTTGCTATTGTTGTAAACATTAATGGTTACATTGGCGGTGTCACTATTATTGACAGTTAAAGTAACACCTTGTTGAATTATATACTTTACCTTAAATGATCGATTGTGAGTAAAATAGTATACAAACCTCGCTGGTCAGTGGTTCATAACCAACCCCTCGCGCTTATACCTCACCTCCGCGCTTCGCGCGTCGGTGAGGTACCTTAAGCCCTCGGGGTAGGTAATGAACCACCTCCCAGCTCGGTATGTAATCTACTATTTTTGGAAAATAAATTATTTTAGAGCCTGGACTATAGCCGTGCGTACGGGTTATCACTTCCAAGTGCAGATTCTGGACGCGCCGGCCGTGGGCGATTGGCCGAGGAAGCGGAGCGTCAGGTGTTAGACCATCGGTTCGCTGACGAAATGCTGCGAGCATTAAAAAAGGCGTGCGTGGGACGAACTACGCATAGAACGCGGGCGGCGCAGTGGAAGGGGTCAAGTGTGGCAACGGACGTGAAGGACACCAACAAGACGTGTGCACCCAAGAAGATGTCCGGGCAGATGTGGAGTTTGGTGGAGCCATTTCATCCAGATGGCGAGGAGGCTTCCATTAACCGCTGGATCTCCAGAGTGGAGCAGTCTTGCGGTTTAGACCGGATCAATTACCATTGGGAGAAGTGGTGCAAAAAACTGAAGACGGCGTCCCCAATGCGGAACAATTTTGGGATGGTGATTGAAGAGTTCGCGTTGCAGGCGTTTAATTTTAAAAGTGCGAACTACCGAAGTTCATCGTAACACCCAATCGTTTTTAAACGAGGTAACTGTGTATTTCTTCCGAGATTGCGGTGAGAGCTGAAAGATTGTCGAGGTGCAAAAATATATCACCAGCCCGCCACGTTTGGGGCCTTTTTCACCTCCCACTGTTGCGCAACCTTTTGATAATTTGAAAATTTACGACGGCTGGACAAAATAACTCTTTCAAGAAAATTCTCTACGGGTAGACGCAACCTTCCACATCAAAGCCGCTTGGTACACCGACTGAGAAGGCGTGACCGAACAGACCACTAGCGACAGAATCACGTACTACGCAAACTGCGCGCTCAGCAGCGTCATTCTGGAAACTTTTGGATAGGTACCCTCCCCGTAGTATAGCACACACTCCGTAACAACGTCAATCTTTTTTTTTTACAAATTTGGAGCATGTTTTCATTTAGGTGGCAGGTCGTAGCGCAAACCTAGCACAATCTAGAACAAAGGTTTATTTATGTCGAAGCAGTTATCAAAGAAGGGCTGAGAGGTTTTTCAAATTAGACAACACAAGTTCCCTAAGTTAGCGTTTATTTCTCACCATTTCGGGCATCCAATTTTGAATGTACAGTAGGTACGCCCACCAATTGGATACACACGGCGCAACCATGCCATCTACCTGATTCCAAAGTGGACCAGAACCGACATTTTTAAACCACGTTAATTGAATTAATAAAATAACGACAACAGACGGTGTAAGCCTACAATAGTTTGTTTACTATAGTATGATCTTATATGTACCCACCTTAAATATCTTCCGATGTAATGAGCGCAAATGTTAAATTTATTACCTCTTGACGCCTTTTGCCAAAAATTACACAGAGCCAAATACCCGCTGATGAAGAAAAATATTTCCATAGCCAATCTTGAATGTATTATTACGATGCCCTGTAAGTCATGCTCCCACTGAAACGGATCGTGTCAAATCTGGCATTAACAACGAAAAGATACATACATAGTATGTACTGTAGCTATTCATAATCGGGGTCATAAATCGCAAACAGTATACGTGGATCATGATCACGTCTAACATAGCTAGTACCCGTAATCCATAGAAACACGTAGTGATCTTGTTGTGGTCTGAACCGACAACATCGAAAATGAGTTTACCGTTGGTACGAAGTGAAAACGATTTTAACGCCCAATGTTGCTTCCCTAAAATATTTCTAAAGTAACTGCCAATCTTGTCTCCATACGACGTATTTACCTGCACAGGTCAATTCGTAGGTAGTCGAAAGTATGATGAGTATTAGGATGAGGACCAACAGCGCCCTATACCGGAAGGTTAGGGAGCATTATGTCTAGTACAATGTGTTTATTTACAGAGTAGTGTATCCTCCAGGGGTAATTTTGGGTTGTGTTGCTTTGGTTTGGCAGTCCGCTTCGTGAACTGTTAAATTAAGTCCTATTCCCTTTGCTAGCTTCGCAATGTCGCTACCAGAGCATGAATTTGGAAAGCAAACTGAGAATTTCATTTCACTTGGTACTTCCATATCGGACGGCAAAGATTCGAGCTGCCTGATCTGCAAGAGACATAGTAAGTAAGTAAGTACTTTATTGTGTTAATACATTGAAGAAATGCTTACACTCGTCCGAAAATCGTATAAAACATAAACATATAGAACAATATTACATAAATAACATGAAAATTCATTTAGAAAACAAATAATTAAAAAATACAAACAACAAAAAATAACTTAAACCGTTAAAGTCTTGAGGTCGTTATCTAAAAACTCTTGGATGTTGTATATTGGATTTTCGCGTAAAAAGTTTTAAGTAACGTACATTCTTGGCATGAATTATGATTACAACATTTTAGTAAGGTTCTTATTCTTCTCGAAGTCTACAAACCTAGCATTGGTTGGACGTAGACGCTTTCCTACTCTGTACTAGCCTTTTCATTTATACGTAACTGTCTTTGCCTACCTCCCTAACTATTTGATCTATGTACCTAAGCCTCTGGTGTCCTAGCCCCCTCTTGCCCTCTAACCTACCTTCTATAGCTAGCTGTACTAATCCTCCGTGTCTGACCACGTGCCCTATCATTCTCGACTTCTCTGTCAGTTTTACTTTTTCTTCATTAGGTCAAGTCAAGAGAAGTGAAATGAAGTGTACATAATTCAATTTTTATCTTATTTTATTAGGTTTAGGATTTCATAGGTCGAATAGGCTAGGTCTAGGGATTTTTTGACAACTTTTTAAGATTTTAGAAGTTTTGGGGATCGTTATTTAGGTTTCATCGACAACGTACCAGGGATTACGGCAACATGCTACCCGGCACTGTGACTTTTTAGCACAACACACCGAAGTTGAGGTACTTACACGCTTATGTGCTCGATTTTCCGTCGTCTGTCTGTCTGTTCCATCGAGATCTCGGCCCCCTGGGCCACCTAAACTCCGGGCAGGGCGCTTCTTCGGGTTTTCGTCAATTGATAGTTGCTAAGGTCTATTTACTCTTCATTTACAGTTGTGCTACGCGGCACAATTGATGCTTTGAACCACTTAATTACAGATGCACAACTTTGTTTTTCAAGAAACAAGTATATGTTGTGTTTTTTTTTATTGACTTAAAAGGGGCATATGATGTGGTTGATTTGGATATCCTATACTTAAAAATGGTAGGATTAGGTATCAATAGGAAAGCATGCATAAATATATACTCTCAATCTTTTTGTAAATAGAAAAATACTTTTGCGTGATCATAATAATGTACTACACGGTCCTAGAATTCTCTATAACGGTCTCCCACAAGGCTCAATATTGAGCCCACTCCTCTTTAATATTTATGCTGCAGATCTGCATGGTTTGGTGGACGACAATACCAAAATTGTTCAGTACGCCGATGTTTATATACCACCCACGATTCGTATATGATAGCTGTTTAATTGACTTGAAACGTATGTTTAATTGCTTGGAAGACTGGATCAACGAAATGGGATTTAGTATTTAGGGATTTAGTATAGTAAAAACAGCTATGTGTCTAACAAGACATAGGCTGCTAACTGCTGGAAAAGTTTCCATAAGAGTGATTATAGTCCACGAAATGAAGGTTTTGCCCTGGCAATGTTTTCAAAATGAATCGATTAACTTGAAATTTTGACAGTAGGCAGGGAATAGCCTAAGGATCAAAATGTATATCATTCCAAAGGGCGCTTTCCTCGTGGGGGTGGTTGCCACCCCACTTCAGGGGTGGTAATTTTTTATTGTAATTTTTAGACAGAAATAGATAGAAGATTAATTCTAAGCAAAAAGTGTTGTATACATTTTTTTATAAAGTTAATACTTCTCCAGTTATTCGCGATCGAAGGTATGAGTTTTTCATAGAAAAGATCAATGTTTTTAATTGGTTATTCGCGAAAAACTCGAAAAGTATGCATTTTACTTAAAAACCGTGGAGAACAAAATCGTAGGTTTTAAAAAAAAACAAAGAAAATGGTTTTTTAAATAATTGCTGTATGACCAATACGAACCGATTTGTGGCTACTTAAAGGTTAGCTCTTGTTCGTCAAACGCTAAATTAGAGAGTTTCACAGTCAAATAATGGCAAAACTATGCATTTTTCGAGAAAAACTTGTAGAATATTCTTTAAAGTATTTAAAAAAACCTTTCTTCTTTTTTTTAAAAAACAAACCTTAACATAAAAGTTAAGTGAGTTACGTTGAAAATAAGGTAGATCCGTACTTTTTTCAGCGAAAAATCAGCGCAAGCAACCCCCTAATTACCACCCTCATTAAAATGAGTCCTTCCCCTTTTCCAGTTTTCTCTAATTACGTATTATTAATACATTCTAGAAGTGGGACCAGTTTAGAAGACTTAATTTTGAAATAATTGAAGTTAAAAGTGAATAACGTCCTTCTCTTCAAAATAACTACAAAATAACTGGAGATACGTAAAAAATGCTAGAACTTCCAATTGTAGCTTTTTTAAATCCAAATTTTCTGTAAGACAAAATATTAAGTGAGATATAGTCGTTTAAAACGTGTATTTATATGCGAGCACTACTTTGTTTTAATTCTTTAAGCTCACCCCATTTTAAAACTAAGAGTTTTAAAGGGATTTGATGTAAATAGCCTTGTAGCTCTTGTAAAAACCTACAAAATGGTTTTTAATGCACTTTCTATCATAAAAAATAAAAAAGTTATGATTAAAAATAAACGAATCACAATTTTATTCGAAAAATTCTGCAAGCACAAATCGGAGCATGACGATCTACATAATTATATTTCGTGTACTACACATTAGAAACTTACATACACACTTACATCCATTCCATACACCCGCACACTATGTAATGCAATTCAAAAAGAATATCACCACTTTGAAATCTGATAATGAAAGAAATAAAATAGAACCATGGGTTATATCAAAATGAAGAGTAAGTTTTTTTCCACTAGAAAATAGGTTCACAGGTGTTGAATATGATCCCCCTCGAGAGATATCCATAAGATTATTTTTTATTTTTATTTATTGTCCCTCTTGTTCTATGCCCTCAACAGGCTTGCGCCCAATTACAAAGTGACTCGCATAATGCTTTTTAGAGGTGCCCCTGCAGAAGGTCTTAAGTTGTTCTATACTACTCCGGTATTTACCTTACGAATTAGGAAAACTGCAGGAAAACCTAATTCGGAGTAGCCGGCAGAATGCTCGAAACTGATCTAAGGAAAATCCCATCTCTGCCACAGATGAAAAATTCACCTCAAACCAGGTCCGAACACCCCACCTCCGGATTTATACCCCAACGCTCTACCACTGAGCTATAATGTAGATACGTGCGAGACTGCCCGGAACTTTTACCTTTGCACAAATATATAAACACCCTTTCTCTTTGAAATCAATCAACGTTTGATATCCCATCTATCAGGAGGTCGAACACCATACTTTTTCCGAAATGCACAGTGAACAATTGTCGTCAATAATAAATTATTCACTTTTTGAGGGTAAACACTTTTTTTTATTAAACCGCAGTAAGGGTTAATTTTTAAGGGTAGAAATATTCTGAAAGAATGTTCCAAAGCCTCTAATAATCATTACTCAACTCATCTGAACCAAATTTTACTCACCTTAAGCTTTAATATGTATAGTTTTATGGGTTTGGCAAAAAGGGGTAGTTTTCACCCCTAAAAAAGAAAGAGCGCCCATCGACATAATATAGATTTTGAAGTGTAGAGTAAATTGACACTATTCTAAGTTTCGTTTCCTGGACTATTATACTTTCCCTATAGTCGACGAATATAAATAGGTACCTAGGTATAATTATCGATAAGAAACTACTATGGAGCAGTCATATAAAGTAGATTAAGCAAAGATGCGACAAAGGATTTAATATTCTTCGTTTTGCGTCAAAAAAATCTTGGGGCGCAGATCAGCATACTTCCCTGATGTTTTATAGGTCGTATATTCGCTCCATACTGGATTGTGGGTGTAGGTACTATATACCTACGGTTCAGCCTCAAATTCTAATTTATTAACTGTGGATCGGATACAATACAAAGCCTTAAAAATATGTCTAGGCGCCATGATGTCTTCACCAAATCAAGCAGTATTAGCAGAAGCACAGGAACCGCCTCTATATCTACGTAGGCAGTACTTAGCTAACAAATATTTAATTAAATACAGGACTTTTAATGCATCTATGGTCAATAAAATATACCTAGTTTGTAACGAAAATTTGACAAACCCGTAATGGAGTGGAGAATTAAAAATTCTGCTCCGTTAGCAAACTCTCTTATTGATACAAACCCGTACCATAACCAAATATTACAGCACGCTAAACTCCCTTTATATGAATTCAATTTGGAAGTCGTTATAGACACACCAACCACCATATTCCCTAATTATTCTGATAACCCTGTTCTAACTAATATCATCATGCTTAAATCTGTACTTACTAATCTTGGAGAAAACCTGACCACAATATACACAGATAGGTCAAAGAATGACTGAGGCACTGGCTCCGCTTTTTTGGTTGTAAACATAAATTATATTGAAAGTTACTGAATATCGGAATTTTGCTCTATCTTTACTGCCTAAGCTTTTGCCATTAATAAAGCTCTGAACTGGTGTATTACTAATACGTGTGAAATATATATATATATATATATCTCAGATTCGAGATCGGTATTATAAGCTATTAATTCGCCTTCCACAAATCATCCCAAAAATTCGTTATTATTAAATATTAAAAAACTTATTATTGATTTAAACAAAGATAGTAAAACAATTGACCTGATCTGGACCAAGACACATTGCGGAGTTACAGGAAATGAAGTAGTGGATAGAGCTGCTAAAAATGTTTGCAATCTGGAATAGATAACACAGGTCTGCGATTTTAAAGATTTAGTTAATGTTTTCAAAAGTAATACCAAAGACTCTTGGAAGTCTCTTTATAAAGAAATTGCAAATAACTCTAAAAGTCAGTATTTCAGTAGGTATTCACTCGTCCTTACCAAAAACCATTCCACACTTTAGCTTCAATTATAAGAAAACTCATTCCATTTTTATAACATGTTTAAAACTCAATCGTGGCCGTTTTCGAGCTCGTCTTCATAGGATTGGTATAATTGATTCCCCCCTTTGTATACTTGTGATAATGAAAGTATTGGGGATCTAAACCATATAATCTTAAATTGTAAGTTAAATGCAGATCCCACCTCTCTTCTATATCAAGAGCTAGGTAATTGATATTAATATTCCTCTCCCCATTAGTGTTCCTACTCTTTTATCTTTTTCATATAAAGAAGTGTACGATATTTTAATACAATTTTTAGTTAGATCCAAAATAGAAATTTAACATCAATCCGCGCTATTCAATAATAGTTCTGTGGCAAATAGACGTAGTCTAATGCTATATAAAAAAAAACTAGGCCCTAGTAGCTGCACGGGAATTGTCACCGTTGACGTTTTTTTTTTAAATTAAATAATAATGGTCCACTAACTAATCGGATCGAATACAATCCAATATTCCCAAAAACTCGGCAAGGAGGTAATCGTCCGTTAGGAACTGATTTCGAAATTTACCACTCTGGAAATGTGTGCTGTCCGGTATATATCGACGTGTATATCTTTCTTGATTATTGATACGCATAATATGTTAATTACAACCACTTATGCTTGTAAAATGATCTTACTTACTTACAATATGCTGACGTATTTATGCATAGGTTTTGGATTTTCGGTAATACTCACATATTCATTAGGTATGGAAAGGGATCCAAGGCAATACTTTCCCGTAAGGCTTTTAGTATCATTGCCAACATCCTCAATTTCGATACATTGATCAAACGCACCGAATTGGAAGAAATTGCCCTTAAGTACTCCAGGCGGAAGCTTTCCGGTAGCGTCATACACTGAAGCCGTCGTAAAATATTATACTGAATCAAAGAAAAACTTACTATTTAATGCCCAACGCCATTCTTTTCGAAGACTAGATACGTAGTGTGTCAATTGAACACGACAGTCGTATATCAGCGGGGGTTTTTGGGACAAATACCGTTCAATTGCTTTCGAAAATAGAGTTGGTGATGAAAGAACAGCGAATTTTTCTCCCAAGTAGGCTCCGTCCACTGTTGTAAATGCTAAAAGCAAAATTACGAAAACCGTAGCCATTACGACCAATCACCATATGAGATATATCGTGAAATTACTTAATTTTATTTGTATAATCAGATTTCGATATCGGGAGGCATGGGCAGGAACTACCCAATTAAGAAAAAAAAATGAGGTTTAATTATTTTGATAAGTCAGATCACGACGAAAGAGGAGAGAACCAAGTAAGAAAATTTCATGTTTTCACTTATTTACTTTAAATTGTTCATCTGTGACAAAGACGGGAATTTCCTTAGATCGGTTCCGAGCCTTCTGCCGGCGACTACGAATTTAGGTTTTCTTGCAGTTTTCCTAATTCGTAAGGTAAATATCGGAATAGTGACGTTCTGCAGGGGTACCTCTAAAAAGCATTATGCGGGTCATAAAAATATGCAAAATGTGGAGCTGGCGAGCAGAAATTAGTAAAAATTATCAATAGTGTCCATTTCCGTTATAAAATAACGTTTTAATTAGTTCTTAATTAAAAATGCAGTAGAAATACCAATCTAATATAATGATATTATAAAATAATAAGGACCGATAAACAAAAGGAAGAGGGATAAGGATAAATAAGTACCTTACTAACAATTTTTTACACGAGTTAGCTCTATTATGCAGATCTGAATCCTTAAGTTTGCCCCTAATCTAGAACGAGTGTACAGAGTGATCCAAATTGGACACTTTTTATGGAAACACCCTTTATTTTAAGAGTTTTTGGAAAAGGTGTATTTCTGTAATTTTGATGTTCCGTCTTTGTTATACTGGTCCAAAGAAGTACAAAGGAAGATTCGACTGCGACTTGCCATACCACGCCGGTACCAAGCAAAATTTGGACGGTATAGCGATCATGTTTGGTATCTGCAAGATCTCGTCACTTCCCAAGAGAGGTGAATATTTTAATAGGCTTAATGAGGAATCGATACAATAACGAAGTTAACGAACGTTTTAGAGCAGATTGAATTAGCTAATCAAGACGAAAGACCGAACGTAAAGTCAACTTCAATAAATCAAGAAGTACAAAGAGATGATAATAGAAGACATACGACTCGAACTGAAACCAAGAACTTCCTACGAAGAAGGACCAGGAGATCCACTAGTTCCTCAGAAGTTCCAAAGAAGCAAGGAGCAAATTAATTTAATTTATTATACGCCGTGTCTACAGTCCCGTCGTCCAACGCTCTTCCACGTCATAGGATTTTTGTATGTTTCCTTTTGTTTAAAAAACTAGTTGTCAGGTAAACTCCTGACTTGACTTTCCGACTACTTTTAATAGTCATTACAATTATCTTTGGTAATAGTATAATATTCAGAAAATGCCCTCTAGCGTAAAAAATGTAGAACCCTTTTTTGTAGATCTCATCAAGACACATCTTTTTTTTGTAATTAACATTTTTCACTCTGATGCTTACTTTTAGAGAAAAATGCAAATTTAAAAAAATAAAATAAATGTTTAACTTTTAACTTTTAGCTTTTTAATTCAAAACTAAAAAATAAAGGAACTCACAACAAAATTGTAATGAACTGTTTTAAGCGATTTTGACCAGTCTATGCCAAAAAAATTTAAAAAAATTTGTTCAAGCCGTTATGGCTCTTTTAAACTTTTGCCATCCTTAACTACCATGAAGATGGTTACGGATCAAAACCAAAATAGGAAATTTTCGATTCCCCATACCACCCTATATGCACCCCAAATTTCGTCCAAATCGGTTCAGGGGATTTTAATTATCGTGTTTACAAAAAACGAACCACATACACACCCACCCACCCTCACACACAGACGTCAAACTAAAAATGACTTTTTTGGAGTCTGTGTGCTTCAAAACGTCCAGAAAACGCAATATGGGCATATCGAAAATTATATGTATCCAAGCTTTTGTTTTGAGTAACATTACTGAATCATGTCTGTTTGTTACACTGTATAGGCGGTTATGCCTTTTTATTACTTTATTAAGTATTTATGTATTCATGTAGGAGTAGAGTGTCAGTGTGATGTTGCTGTATGTTTGACTAATCGTGGAGTGAGTGCCTCATACAGATTCTTCACTGTATATGGTTCTCTCTCTCGGTCCCGCTTTTTAACGGTGCGTAAGCAATGCGAGAAAGGGGGTTCTCTAATTAACTTCTCTTCTGTTTAATGTGGTTGAGTTTGTAATAATCGACAGTAGCACAAATGCTGTTGGCATTTTCACATGAATTTTTCGTGTTAAATTAATGCAACCCATGCTGGAGCAGAACCATGCCCCTTTTGATGTTTTTGCATGTACATTTTGTACTAATTTTATCTTGTTTTTTATGTCTCTTGTGTTTATTTTTATTAATTTGTTTAACTGCATTTGATTTTTGTTGTACAATTTGACATTTGGTATTGTTCTGTTGCATTTTATTGTCGTAGTTAATTTTTTTCTTGTGTTTGTGTGTGTTCTGCCATTTTTTTCCAAAGAATGATTTTTTTTCTGGATCCTGCATGTAAACCTCTGCTGTGACTGCCTGCAACAGTTTACAATATCAACCGGAACCAAAACCAGAAGATTCCAAGAAGGTTGTAAGAAGGTGGTTTTAGTAAGGTTCCATAGGTTCTAATGTTTCATGGATGGTCTAAAAGTCTGAAAAGTCCCGAAACTTCCAAACTTAGTGGGGATTCCAAAGAGATTTTAAAAAGATTTTCATAAGATCCTAGACGTTTCTCAGAAGAACTTGTACCTTAATAGAATTTTAGGAAAAATGTTGTAGCCCTGAAGATATTCTACTTGATCTTAAAAGAATGGTTTGAAGAAAAGTACAAAAAGATTCTAAAAAAATTCCCAGACGATTCGAAGGGAATCTTGGAGACAAGATTCTTGGAGAACTCCCTACTTTATTAAATAATCAAAATAAATTGTGAAAATTTCAGTCTCATTGGAACACTGGTTAAACGTTAAAGTGCATACAAAAAATCACGAAAATTCCTATGATAAGCTGACCATCTTTATCCTAGGGGTAGCAAAAAGGCGATCTTCAGGGGGATTCAAGAAAATTTTTAAAAAATTAAATAAAAGGGACTCCTCTAATAGTGGTAAGGAGAATCTAATAAGATTCTAAGAGGTCCTCAACATGATTTTAAAAAAAATTTCGTAGTCTGACAGCTAGTTCTAGAAGTTTATGTTAATTTATGACTCTCAGAGCTTCTTAATATTCCAAGAAGATTACAGGAAGACTCCAGGATTATATAAAATCCTGAGATGACCCTAAGAAGTTCTGATTTAAAAAATTTTAAGGCGATTCCAACGACTCCAAAAAATTGCAACAAGAAAGAAGATTCTCTTTAGAAGATCTAAGAATCATAAACAATAAAGGTTCTAAAAAATGTGGAGAAAACAATTGATGCATGAAAAAACTGTGCATCTACCAAAGTGCAAAGGTAAAAGGAACTGAAATAAGCAGGGGCGGACTGGCACGGGGGGTCGGGTGGCGATTGCCACCTAGCCTGTAGATCATAATGGCCCGTTGGCAATTTATAAGTATGTGCTGTATTTAGTTTCTTGCACTATTAATAAATTATTAACACGTTTCTCTAATTGGGGTTGATGTTAGGTTGTTAAAAAATTCTGTTTTAATTGAAGTGTTCTACAATGAATTTATCATTTTTTGTCGTAGTATTTTGAAAGTGCTGAAATACAGCTGCAATTTAAAGTACTTTAAAATGTTTTTGTGGTGCACCTCAGAGCTCCCCCCCCCCCGCCACCTTCATTACTACACTAATACTTTAATGGCCCGTAAGTACCCAGTCCGCCCCTGTGTATAACCTTCCTTTTTTACCAAAATTCAACTACACCAAAATTTCTCGGGAAAACACTTTTTCTTATTAATTTTGGTGCGTAGAATCCAAATCAATTCGTACTTTTTCGATCAGACTTCTCAATCAAAAGTTATAGACTAGAAACCAATTTCGAAAAAAATTCAAAGGGCTGTAACTTTTGAACTAGTAGCCCAATCTTGGAACTGTTTGAAATTATGGATTCTACAGGCCACATTCTATAAGAAAATTTTTTTCCGGGTCGATCTGAGACAATTTTTTTTCGGGGCTCAAAAAAAGGCAGTGTATAACCTTCCTTTTTTACCAAAAATCGACTACACCAAAATTTCTCGGGAAAACACTTTTTCTTATTAATTTGGGTGCGTAGAATCCAAATCAATTCGTACTTTTTCGATCAGACTTCTCAATCAAAAGTTATAGACTAGAAACCAATTTCGAAAAAAAATTCAAAGGGCTGTAACTTTTGAACTAGTAGCCCAATCTTGGAACTGTTTGAAATTATGGATTCTACAGGCCACATTCTATAGAAAATTTTTTTGGTCACATTCTATAAGAAAATTTTTTTTTTTCGAGCCTCAAAAAAAGGCAGTGTGTAACCTTCCTTTTTTACCAAAAATCGACTGCACCAAAATTTTTCGGGAAAACACTTTTTCTTATTAATTTGGGTGCTCTACGCAAATCAATTCGTACTTTTTCGATCAGACCTCTCAATCAAAAGTTATAGACTAGAAACCAATTTCGAAAAAAAATTCAAAGGGCTGTAACTTTTGAACTAGTAGCCCAATCTTGGAACTGTTTGAAATTATGGGTTCTACAGGCCACATTCTATAAGAAAATTTTTTTCCGGGTCGATCTGAGACAATTTTTTTTTCGGGGCAAAAAAAAAGGCAGTGTATAAAC